TCTGAGGGCTGCAGTGTTGGCTGGAGCTGATCTGGAAGTAAGAGGATTGAATGCATTTAGCCTTGGCCAATTGTTATTTAAATCATAAATTTAAGTTTTTAAAAGCATTTATTAATGAATACAGCATATTTTCAAAATTACAGATGTGCACACAAATTATGTAGAGTTGACTAAATTTCATGTTAAATTCATAAATTTTGATTCATTTTATTGATTTATGTATTTAGTTATTATTGAGATGATGCTAAGTCATTATGTTTCATTATTCCAGAACTGTGACCTCTCTGGTTGTGATTTACAAGAGGCTAACCTGCGTGGTGCCAACTTGAAAGGAGCATCATTAGAACTCATGTTGAATCCACTTCATATGTCACAGACGATACGCTAGTCCACATTCAGACGGTCCTCTTTTATGCTCAAATTTTTCTTGTGAATTCTATATTTGTAAAGTCTTGATATTGACGCCCAAACACAATCAAATGTACCCATTGTTAAAAAAAGAAAGTAGACTTTTCCATCAAGTGTTGATAGCGTTATAATGCAATCAGCAGTTGGATAGATAACAAGACTTAAAAATAATCTGTTAACATGGCTGATGCAAAATGTTCCTTGTGGATCATACACCTTATTCATACACCTTTTTCTGTTTTCAAATACCTTCAAATTATAAAGTTAAATTTTAGGTGAATCTGGTGAGCCTGGCGTTTCTAAAAGTGCCTATTTAAATCCATCCAGTGGAGCAAGTAGACTTCAATCATGTTATTAAATATAAAAACTTTATGATATTTCTTATGTAAATATTTCTGATATCAGAGAGGAGTACACCAGTTGATAAGTAAAAGCAATAATGGTAGTATCCTTAGCTGAGGTTACAGGGTCTTAAAAGTTTTGTTTCAAGCTTGGTTTATGTTTGAGATTAATACTGTGCATTACGTCTGAACATACGTCAAATTCAAAATATTGAAAGTTTGCTTTAGAACTACTGTATGTACAAAATTAGTAGTAAATAAATGCCATATATTCTATCAAGAAGCTTAAAGTTCTGTTTGGGCTGAACCTTATTAAGCTTGTTTCATTAAACAATGTCCATTAGTGTACAACATAATTCATAAAAAGGTTTATTTCAATCTGGAAGGAAGTAAAGTATTTTAAAAGCAAAAAANGTGTAATTAGTGTTGCATTTACATTGAAAATAGTGAAAAAACAGCATAAATTCCCTCAAAATGGCCCAATCATGCTGATTTTCGAATTTGACCTGCGTATTATGAATATTCATCAGTTCTGTAAGTTTCAAGTCAAAAGGTAAAATGGTTTTCCACTTATCGTGTTATCGGTGCTGCATATATGCTGAAAAAAGTGAAAAAAACAGCATAAATTCCCTAAAAGTGACCCGATCATGCTGATTTTCGAACTTGACCTGCGTATTATGAATATTCATCAGTTCTGTAAGTTTCAAGTCAAAAGGTAAAATGGTTTTCCACTTATCGTGTTATCGGTGCTGCATATATGCTGAAAAAAGTGAAAAAACAGCATAAATTCCCTAATAGTGACCCGATAATGCTGATTTTCGAACTTGACCTGCGTATTATGAATATTCATCAGTTCTGCAAGTTTCAAGTCAAAAGGTAAAATGGTTTTCCACTTATCGTGTTATCGGTAAAAGTGCACGGCGACGACGGCGACGACAGACGCAGATGATGGCTATATGTACAGACACATCTGTGTCTGTACATAAAAAAGAAATTCAATTGCAGTTATTTCATAAAATGCCCACGTTGTTTTTCCTCTCCATTGTCATACTGTCATTTTTATTGGCAAATGAGCATATCCTTGGTAAATTGCCTCTATGCAAATTGCACAATATGTCCCCTTAACAAAACCAAATATGCAGGTATATTGTAACAGGTCTTTAAAGCATAAGCCACTACAATTCTCTGAACAATTCCCCTATGAGTTTATATTCTTTCCATGCGATAAAACTAATTTCAAGCTCTAAACAAGGAATGCCCAAGCTCTAAACAAGGAATGTTCTATCTATTTTGAAGTAAAAGATCCACTCCTGCTGCTAGGTTGTCAACATAACTATCTGGCTTAACTGTGGGGTGATTTTCATCAGAGGGCCTGTGAAGAAAAATACAAGAGTTTATAACATATCTGGGCAGAGGATGGTTTATTTCTCACTTCTTTACATTTTGCTGCATTTAATGGCAAAATATTTTCTTGTGTATTCATGTAAGAAGGTTTCCAATTTGGAAAAGGTAGATACAATTCAAAATAAGTTTTGAATTTCAATAACTTGTCATATTAAGATAACATTCTGGACTTGCAAAAATGTTTTAACCATGCACTGCCCAGGTTATGTAATACTCACCTGAACTTTCCTGTTCGCACTTGAATTCCTTTCATACCGCAGGCCTGGGCACCTCCAACATCATTCACTATATCATCACCAATCATAACAGCCTAGAAATATCATATCGGAATAAGATTATGCACCCTACATCAAAGAGGGCCAAGTCATCTTGGTGAGTGTTTGTCTGTGTAGTGTATGTGCACACACGCACAAGTGTGTACAATAACTTTTAATTAAAATTAACAAAATTCCCACAATTGTGAAAATGAATATAAAAGTTAATATCACAAGAAAAAAATCATTAATAACAATTAGGCTTCTAAACAAAAATGACCACCATTTTCTATACTTACATTGGATGCATCTACACCCATGTCTTTTAGCACTGCATTAAAAAATGATGGTGATGGTTTCCCTACTATCTCGGCTTTAACATCACAGGCATACTGTAAGGAAAATGCTGTAGTAGCTCAAAAAATGAAAAATTACAAAAAAGTGAGACCACAAAACTAAATTTCCAATGGGCATGCTGTAAAATAGAAACACACAACTAATTATGAATCAGACCTTGCCTAACCTAATGCATGGAATGTATTGTTTGATATCTAAATCCGCTATTATAACTGAATTTACCTCTAAAGCCTTCATATATGCTCCAACATCCAGTTTCAAGCCACCTGCTTCTTTGTAGTATTTCCTATAACATAAATTAATAATAAATAAGATTAAAGAGTATATGTTCCTGATTTAAGCACACCCTGCTTTCTTAACCCTCTTTAATTCTACCCACAATTCCTTGGGATTCGTAACATTTGTAAAAAGTCAATTACTGAATTAACAAAACATCCATAAATGTGAATATTATGGAAACTGACATCATTGAATTAATCAGAATTTAGTAAAATATTCCACTCAATACTTTTTAAATACTTAAAAAGATACATAATTATATTATCCTCCACTTTATAAGTTACTGTGAAACAACATTTCTTACAAAAAAAAAAATAATCAATGTTTAAATAAAGTGATTGATTAAAATAAAGAATAAGGTTGTAGCATTACCCCTGCCCCATAGAGAACAATATTGGCTTTTCCAGTGACATCAAGGTTTGAAAGGCTTTATTGACCTTTTCAAATGTGAAATATTTGGCAGCGTCTCCCAGTACAACACAGTTAGGATCATTTTGATCAATATCAGCAAACTCTGGATCACATGCTGAAATTGGAAATCCATTCCCATGTGATGAAAATGAAATAAAACATATAGGCGCTTGAATTTAATAAAATTTATTTGGAGATTAGCTATAGTAATAATACTGATTTATAAAGAGTTACTGTTATTATTAATTAGTAATATTTCAACAGTAATTTTTTTTTAAATCATATGTATGTCTTAAATATTGCCAACAAGACGTAAGTAAAAATAAATGAAAAAAGTAAGAGCAACCCATCACTGACTTCGGTATAAAGCAAGTTTAAATTATGAACCTCAAAAACAAGTGACAAAAATAGACCATAAATTAAATGGTATTTAACTGAAAAAACATTTTATTCACATGGATGTATCACAGTAAATGGCCTCAAGTTTCTCTCCTTTAGTATTTGACACACAGCAGGGGCTGGTGGGAACACCTCTGACACACCAAGGGTAAACCCTAACCGACTTAGTTTTCTCACCAGCTGTTCTCTGGTACACTGGGTTTCATTGGTGCAAAACCGAACTGGAAGGCCAGATTTTCTCAGCCTGCAAGGTAATAAGTCCTATTAATTATAAAAACGATGTATGATCATTAAAGCACCAATTAATCAATATTTTTATGGTACATATTTACTTACTGTCCTGTAATATGCTAATAAATGAAAGAATGGATTAAATAAACAAACAAATAAATATCCAAAAATTAAACCCAAAAAATTAAATGATAGAAATGTTTTAATCACTTTACCAAAAACAGCAAAAAGACATATATAGACTTAAGATACTGTATATGGCTTTGTCGGCTTGTACATCTCCAGAATGACTCCAAGAGGATAAGTAAATAAAACATATCCAGAATACTCCTTGATTCACCCCAACAGTTGGCCCAGGTGATTCATATTGATATTCAGCATTAACGTACGTACCGGTACATGTACATGTAATATAATAACAATAGCAAGAACGTTATATTTCCAAACTACAACTAACCTCTCCACAGCTTCAACAGATCCATCAATGGCAACACCTACATCGTCTTCCGTGTTGTTATACAAAACGCCAGATATATCTAAGAGTACCCCTTGAATGGATTTACTGCTCCACGGGCTAGGCTTAACAGGTAAGGCCATATCGGGTCGGGTCAACCGGCTGCTAACATCGTAGGTATTTTCTCCATGTAGCGTACACGAAAGTTGGAACCTTTCTCCGGTTGGGATTTTACCATTATTACAAGATATCTCTTTTTCTCGAATCGTTCTAAATGTAGTTTTAGTGAATAGTAAATAAATACTTAATAAATGACAGGAACAGGAAAAATAATTTGGATTATGGACACAGGGGCAAGTTTGCCTGATAAACTGCAATCATAAATCTGCTTGGTAAGTGAGGATATGGTGGATCCTGCATCTAAATACTTAATAAAAATCAAATACTTTTTCATTCCAGTACAATTTTTATTATTGTCGTTTTATTGATAACCTTGTCAGTTGCATATTTTTGGGGTAACACAGTGAACTCTCAACTCAGATTTTTCACACACAAAAGTTATTCTCACTTACATCCCTTCAATGATGTCCACATTTTTCATGTACTTGAACAAATGCAAGTAAATTCTTAGGCAACATTCCAGACTTATTGTAACGAAGTTTCTGTTTAATAATAGTTCGAGCTGCCAGGCATTTCAGTGTCATAAATTCAAATGGAGATATCCCCAGTTCTGGATGAGCCATTAGAATATCATATGGATTTTCGCCATACCTGTTCTCAACATCAACATGTGCACCATTCATAATAAAATATATGATGAAATCTTTATCAGGGTGTAAAGATTTAAGACAAAATATCAAAGGTGTGGTACCATCTTTGTCTTTAACATTTACATCTATGCCTGCCTTAACAAGCCAGTCAGTGATGAGAATGCTGGGGTAAAGAGCCTCTTGGAAAAAATACAGAGTACTTCTAGCAGTGAACACGTTATATGATGCAATTCTAATGAATTCCCAATTCAAATTAATTTCAAATGTCTGCCACACTTGATCTTCTATTTCAAGGATTGTAGAGAGACTGTGAATGAGTTTTCCTTTTTGAGATGGATTTAATGCAGTTTTACTGTTGATGACATGCAGCATTCCAAGAATCCCCATCAGATTTTCTATCTGCTCCAAAAAATTAGAATCATCCTTTTCTCCACAAATTGGTGTAAGCTCCAGTATGAGCCTCATTAATTTATTTATAAGATTTATCATAGCAATGAGTGGATCTATATACTGGGCAGCATCAGAATTGTTGCTTATTTTACCTGTTGTGAATTTGTGAAGTGCATATTGCATGAGAAAAGAAAGAGCTTCCTCACACTGATTTTGAAACTTTCCCTCTAAACTGAGATTTATTGAGTAGATAAATAGTTTAATCCCCAGGCACATATCTTGATCCACCACTCTTGATGCTTCATGCAAAAGCTCTCCAAGCACAAGTTTGCTTTTAGTAGGCTCCACATTCAGAGACATGCGCAAAGCTAATGCCTGTTGCTCTAAAGCTCTAAAATTCCTTCCCAATTTTCGAAGAGTATCTTTATCTCTGAATGGAGAAATTGAGAGCAAAATCTCATTGCAGGTGCCCTGAAAGTCTTCACTATCTTTGAACTCCACTATGAAATCTGGCAAATGTTTGAAGGCATCAGTGCAATGAGAGACATCTGCAACTTTCAGAGCTTTTTTCCAACATTTTAAAGTTCTGGATACAAGGCACTGGTGGTATATTAATTGTGCATTGTGTAGAATACACGCTGCTCCCAGCTGAAGCCACAACCTTATTCTTTCTCTTTCAGTGACTTTTAAACTACGTTGTTCCAAAAGCCATTTTCCTACAAGATAACATCCAGTTTTACAGGCCTCTTCGACTGGAGTGCATCCACAGTCAGACTGGGCATTGATGTCCAAACCATATTCAGCTAATGCTCGTACAAACTGTACCACTTTTTTTACATTTGCTGCATCAAAATTTGCACGGTGATTGTGACACACAGCATGTAAAACATTCCATCCATTTAATTTTTCATTTACATCTGCACCATGATGAACTAGTAAGTGCAAGAGGTTAACAGACAAGCCTGCAGAATCCGCTATTAGAAACAGTGGTGTTTTCCTCTTGGTTCTATGAGTTGCTGATGCCCCAGCTTCCAGAAGAGACTTCACAATAGCTTCATTATCCACCAAAATGGCAAGATAAAGAGCTGTACCTAAAATGTGAAAGTTGGATTGTTGGAACATTTTTATAACATTATGGTCAGTATTGATAATTTCTTACATTGATATATTTAATGAGTTCATTTAAACTACTGACAGTGAATGATATACTGATGAACATTGAGCAGGCTTTTGTACATTTGACATGCTATGCCTCTCCCAGGCTTCGTCTTAATTGTTTGTTTTAAAAGATAAAAGCTTGCAATGCATACTGGTATACACTCATATTTTGTCTACTGGTCTGATTTCAATTACTCACATATTCCTTTTACTGGCAAGGGGCAGAATTCTATGTCTACATCACATTCCTGCTCCAAATCACAGTACTTCTGGTTCAGCAGGAAGTCTACTATCTCTGTTCGTTGGTGCACAATGGCTTCAAACAATGCAGTACCTGCTGCTGTGTTCTTTTTGCTCAGCAAGTTTCTGATGTCTTTTTGGGAGATTCCTGACAAAGACAGTTGCAATGCCTCTAGGTCTCCTTGCTGGCAGTAGCCTTGGATTAAATCAGAGGACACCTGAAAATAAGGGAAAAAAATCCCCTATCAACTTAGTTACTTTAGTTTGTGTCACATATTTACAAATTACAGTATATACAGTATACATGTATACTAGTACATGTAAATTACCATTTAATTAACTGGATAAGACTTGTTTCAAACCTAGCTTACTTTTGAGCATTTTGACTATAACATTTCTAAAGCCAGTAAATACCTGTACAGTAATATTTTACCTCACCTGCATAGCGTGTGCATTACATCATACATGTATTACACTCGCTAACTGCAGTTCAACTCAACATCATCTTCAGTACTACAAAGAATTGCAGTTTGACTCTCAGTGGTAGACTATCTCAACGCTAAGCTGTCACCTTGATTGATTAAACGATACGTTAAAAAGAGCTGATAAGAACGTCTTCAACATCAGTCCCTTGGTGTAAACTGCATATGTTCAGTGCATAACTTATTAAAACTCGCATTTTTCAAGCTCGCGACTCTCTCAGTTTTCCCCACTGACGTGTAGCAACACAGTTTCTCTAGAATGGCGTCTAACACGCTAAAAAAATTGCCCAATAAGTGTTGACAATGTGAAACAAGTTTAGGATTAAAACGGACATCAATATATTATAATGAAATTATGTATATCAACTTGAATTACTTAAGTTATAAGAAGAAATAAATAAATTAGCTTGAATAATTTCTTTAACTTATCGTTAGCAATGTTCGCTCGTTATAGCTATGTTTTCGCACCTGTCTCTTTCATATCCATGCGCTCCGCGGGCCAGGTGAGGTGAAAAAATATATGTAAAGATTTGTCAAGAATGCTTTAAAAAACAGAAGAAATTGTTGTTTTTTTCGCATGTGTTACTTTTGAATACCAAAAACACAATCTCGTCATTTCTATATAAAAGAAAAAATGTTTTTATTTTAGAACTAATTTCTCTCATGTGCGAAGGTGTGAATCACTCCAGGTACATGACCTAATTTTGGAGGGCCAACGGTGCCCACCTGTAAAATTTCAGGATCAATGTTCAATGGAATAGGAGTGTAAGGCTGCATTTTGTAAAAATCGGAGAAGATGAAGGGATGGGTTGGTTCGTTTTTGGTGCTGATACATAGCAGCTTCGTCGTATCGCAAACAGGTGAGTTGATCAAAAAGGTAACCTGTGGCCACCTTTATTGCTTTCTCATGACTCATTTCAAAATGTCGGTTGTAAACTATAAGGAATGTGAGGTATTTTTCTAAACCAAGTGATTTTTTGTTGTGATTATGAATAAATTATATATGTCCCTGGCAATCTTTCATAATTTTTTTTTTTTTTGTTAAAATTAGTATTGGTGTTAGAAATAAAGGATTTGATCGCCAATTTGATATCTAAGATAGCACCCGAAAGACTTTCACTAGTGGTGGCTATGATTTATAGTAAAGCCCCCTTTACACTGGACGGCGTCCTTTCTGCGTACCATAGTTCGGCCCATTTTGAGAGTAAAAATATATTTACGTGCCGACAACCGGTCAATCATTAAGCATTCATTCTGCAACCAAACCGATGCTTGTGCCTCCTTTCTACGACCACAGCGATGCCAGTTTCATGGTCTCAGAAAGGACGCCGTCCAGTTTAAAGGGGTTTTAAGACTTGTCTTGGCGGTGAAATATTTCATGTTGTAGCCTATATGCATAAAAACACCAATTACTTAACCTCAATGTTTTATTAGACATTTGTAACTAAAAAATTCATCAGTAATTATTGATAGAATTGAAAAATAAAATTATGACAGTGGAAACAAAAAGCAATGCATTATATATATATTTTTGGAAATGTTTAATTGATTCTAATTTGTATGCCAGTGCATAGATAATAGGGAAAGAAGAAAATAATTAATTTTTCAATTAATTTATTGTTATAGTTTTATGTCTAGCATGCTTTTCTTTTTTTGTAAACAGAAGTTGCCAAATGGTGTGCCATATCTGAGGCAGAGTTGCAGAAGTGTAATGCTTGGAGCACAGCTGTACAAGCAAAACAATATACTGGCACACCTAGACTAGAATGTGTCCTTGGGGAGAATAGCTTTGACTGCATGGACAAAATTTCAAGATACACAGCAGACTTGATGGCAGTCGATGCGGGTGATGCTTACTTTGCTGGGCGTTTCTTTAGTCTTGCTCCAATCATGGCAGAGGAGTATATTAACAGTAAGTCATAAATTAGAATATAAATTATTAATGATAAACTAAAAAAATAAAGCATAAATTATAAGGGTTGTTTTATCAGAAAAATACCAAAACTACATATAGAGTATACAGAAAGTTTGAGGTTTTTCTGTGAATTTAAAGTTTACTGATAATAAGCCTTTTCAAAAAAAAGTACAGAAGTGTGTTTATTTTAATTTTTTTCCTTTTATAATTTTTTTTTACAGAGGAACAAATGTATGCTGTTGCTGTTGTAAAAAAGGGAACTAATTTCAATATAAAAACACTGGCTGGTAAAAATTCTTGTCATCCAGGTAAGTTTTAAGTAAATACCCGATAAGCTTACTTGCATAAAATTGTTTTATGAATAATGAAAGAATTTACTCAAATGGAAAATTTGTTCAACTTTTTATGTTACATTTATGAAATTTCTTGTTTTTTAATTAAAAATCTCCATGCTGAAAGTGTTTTTTTTAATTTTGATACCCGTAATACTCAAATTTAGGTTTACTTTTTGAAAGAATGTATAACAAATTGAAAATCCTTTTGATTACCTCAATTTATTATATTCCAGGGATAAACAGTGCTGCAGGCTATGTGTATCCCATGGCACAGATGTTTCAAAGCAAACTGATCTCGGTAACTGAGTGTAATGTGCAGCTGAAGTCAGTGGCCAACTTCTTCAATGTATCCTGTATTCCTGGGGCACTCAGTACACACAAGAATGTATTTGGTATGAATTTGTTTTGTTGATATTATGGAGGCAGAAAGAGTTTCATACTTGTTCACTTGAAGTTATCCAGCATTCATCCCTCCAGGATCTGTATTCAATGACATTTTATAATTTGTTATTATTTTCTATTTATTGATTACTTTATTATGTAAAACATTCCATATGATTTTTCTTTTACCCTCTTACATGATGAAGTTTTTATTTTGCACAGGTGACAACCCACCTGACGTGTGTAGCCTGTGTCAGGGACGAGGCAGTGACTTCTGCATGTCATCAGATCCGTTTGGTGGATTTGCTGGTGCATTCCAGTGCCTTGCCAGTGGCAGAGGAGATGTTGCCTTCCTTAGGCATGCAGATGTGCTGAAATATACCAGAGAAAATCCAAATTACGCAGATTCTGTGAGTCATGCTTAATTCCCTTTGGTTTGTACAAATATACAAATTCTCCATCTTTATTATTTAATTTATTTCTTTAATTTCTTATTCTTTATTTATTTTGCTGGTTCATTTTTGAATTGGAACTAGATAAATTATTGACTAAAATAAAATGGGATGCTATTTGAATTCATCTCACTGTATTGTTATGGAAAATATTGAATAATACAGTATTGAAATTTAGAATAGTTTGACCATAAACTTAGCTCTTACAGTTAACATAGTCCAGGTAAAAAAGTACAACAAGCAAAGGTGTTAAAGATACATTTCTAGTGCTTAATATGTTGCTGTTTACCTTGCAGGATTTTGAGCTTCTTTGTCCTACCGTATTGGAGTCTGGCGTTGAAGTCGATCCTGTCCTGTTCAGGAGACCTGTAAGTGACTTCAGGCTCTGTAACTTTGGACAAGTCCCCGACAATGTGGTGATGACTGGCAGCAGGCGCACAACTGAAGCAAAAGCTGCCTTCAAAAGTCTGCTGTCCAAATCTTCTAGAGATTTCACAGTGTATATTCCACCCTCAACTGGCGTAGGCACTAATGCCACCACCACCACAACCACACCCAGGCCAGGGAGCTTTAGAATCTTCGAGTCCCGGAGCTTTGGGGCATATGATTTGTTGTTTACTGATGACACAAGGGCTCTGGCTGATGTAGGCCAGCTGGATACCTACTACGAATGGCTTGGTTAGTGGCAAATTTGATTTTATAATAATTGTCAAACTTCATATATTTGTAATTTTCAGCACTGTTTTTTGAAGGATTATAGTCGAGACATTCCCAAAAGTTGATTAACTCTTTTTCATAATTTTATCAGGTGATAAGTTCAGAGAAACAAGACAGAAGTTGATTGTCTGTCCACTGCCCTATACTCGATGGTGTGTCATTTCTTCTGATGAAATGGCAAAGTGCGAGCAGATGAAGATGAATTTTGCTGCTATGAACCTACGTCCCACACTGGACTGTGTCCGTGGAGACAATGCCCGTGATTGTATGAGAATCATCAAAGAGGGAGATGCTGATATCATAAACCTGGACGCCTCTGATGTGTACATTGCAGGAAGGTACAACAAAAAATAATTGGAAACATTTGTTATTTGCAACAAATGATTATAATATATTGAAATACATTAAAATAACTTTGGCTCAAGATATTGCATTGTTATCATACAGAAATTCCATCAGACTATAAATATCTTTGACTATTATAATTCATGAAATATGTTAAAATTCAATAAATCAACGACAGAATGTCAGGTTTTTATTTTGCATCTCATGATATCTTTTTCAGTTAAGCAGATATCCTTCATTGTAATAGTGTTGAATAAATACCATCATTATATTTGTCCAAAGTGATATGCATCATTTTTCAGTTGTGACCCATACATTGTGCCTTTTTCAGGAATTACGGTCTTGTCCCAATTGCTTATGAAAACTTAGGAGATGCAAATACTGATTTTTATTATGCCGTGGCAGTGTCAAGAAAAGTGGATTCCACCACTAACTTATTTAATCTGAAAGGTAAGTTGTATTTAAACTAGGATATTAATATTTTAAAAGTGTTAGCAGTGTATCTTTATAATTGAAGTAAGTTTCAAGTTAAAAAGTAAATTATTGAAAAAAATATCCTATGCTCCCAGTTTCCATGCAGGTATCTAAACACCCTACAGTAAAATGCTGTTCCAAGTTGGTAAATCAGAACAGTAAAAAAAAGTGCTTACTTTCCAGACAAGAGGACATGTCATAGTGGCATTGGTCTTGCAGCAGGTTGGATAGTTCCCATGGATATCATGTTGCAGACTGGCCAGCTCACTGTGGATAACTGTGATCTTTACGAGGCTCTAGGTGAGGAGAGAGGTTTAAGAAAGTTGACATTACTCTGTGTATAAAATGGTGCCTACAGACTTGATTGAGAAGCAAGAAAAACAGCACCTACAAAACCAAATTTTGAATACAGTCCAGAACATTGGCACATTTTTAAAATTTTGAAAGCAATTTGAATCCTTTAAAGATCTGATCCCGGCCTTTGTCCAAATACTAAAATTTATAATTAAGGATTGTTTGCTGTAGTACAGGCTCATTTAATTGTTTCATTCACAGTCTGAGAATTGCATATTTTCTCTTGATTTAGGGCGATTCGTGAGTCGCAGCTGTGTTCCTGGCATCCTGGATCCCCTGTACAATGTGAAGGGAACCAACCCCATTAGTTTGTGTGAAGCTTGTGCCTCTGGTGGAAGGTACAAGTGCCAGAGGAACAGTGTGGAGTTGTACTACAGTGACACTGGGGCATTTAGGTGCCTTGCAGAAGGTGAAGAAAAAGCATTATAATTTAGTGATATATGAATTCTATGCATCCAGGCTACAACAGAAATTGACCACATTTCGACTGCTCAGTCAGTCATTTGCTCAAGTTCTGCAAATGTTTCTACACCTACCCAAATGAGTAATGTATTGTTCCTCACTCTGTATTTTTGGCCACTTTCTTACTTTAAATTATCAGATTAAAATGAGAAGTGTTTTCTTTTATTTTATTGTTTGTTTCACAACATAGGTGGTGGAGATGTGGCATTTGTGATGCACACCACTGTGCGTGACAACACAGGAGGCAAGAACCAGGCCGAGTGGGCCAGGAACAGGCGTGCTGATGACTATGAGCTCCTCTGTAAGGATGGGACGCGTGCCTCCGTTGATGACTGGAAAACATGTTACCTGTCTAAAGTACCAGCCAGCGCAATTGTAACAGCAGGTGTGCATTATTTAGATAATTATTCTCACTCTGGTTTACCATGTTCAGTTTTAGATGTATCCTTATAATCAGCTATTTTATCAATGAAGATAAATTGAAAATGAGCACTTTAATTGGGCCTGTTTAAAAAGTATTTCTGTTAATTTTTTATTGCTTTCCAATTTCAGATTATAAAGATGAAGAGACCAGAAATCATTACTGGAACCTACTTAATTACGGGCAATACCTTTTTGGCTCCGACAGGTAAAAAGAGCATTAAGCATTTAGTTTGTATTGACTAACACCCCATTTCCATAGATTAGATCGACCCATTTCCATAGATTAGATCGACCTGACGCTAAATAGCTGTCAGCCGGGCGGACACGAAAGTTAATTACCCCCTTACTGCTTGTAGTAGGCGGGACGGACATTTAAGTCGGATTATCTGAAAGTAATCTAGTGAGACTCCCCGCGGGGATAGATCGATCTAAAATCTATGGGAATAGAGCCTAAGATAAAGCCTGGTTCTGTGTTCTTTTAAATTTATGCCAATACAATCAAATATCAAGACAATACAAACTGTACATCAAAGAGTTTTTTGAAAGAGCATATAATTTATGTCATGATTTCAATTTTAGTAGTGCATCATTCAAATGAGAGAATCTTTCATTTTTAGTAACCCAGATTTCAAGATGTTCAGCTCACCTATCGGTACTTCCAACTTGATGATGTCCGATGCAGCAGTACGTCTGGAGAAGATCCCAAAAGACAAACAGGATTACAAGTCCTACTTACAATCTCATTTCATTAACATGATCAGAGAAGTAGAGGAGGCCAACTGTGTTTCTTCTGCATCGTTCCTCACTCCAACTAACACATTTTTCCATCTGATCATTCTAGTGGTGACTTTTCTTATGTTATGAGTATAAAATGCTTCCAAAGCATACTGTAAATAGTCCATCATTATGACATGAACGAACATGCTTTTATAGACATTTTGCAGAAACTGAAAATGCAATTTAGAAGCTATGTATTAAGAGAGTTTAGATAATGCATTTAGTTAAGTTTTTTAAACAAATGTAATATTTGATGTAAATACTTTTAAACAAGTCGTGTTGTGAATCTAAAGATTAAAGAATACTTGCATATCCTGGAGGAAAGCGTTTTACATACACATTACCTTTCATTCCAGATGAACTTATTGGGTCCAAAAAAAGTGTGATAACCAGTGATGTAACAAATTCCCTTTTGCCATGTTGCAATTATTACAATTTTATATTGTACATTTTCATGTACATATTTTGTTAGACATATGAGATTTTTATAAGATATCACATATTTTATGCTTCTTATACATTGTAGTTATTTTACAAAGGATTGGAGACTGGTTATTGTATTTTAGCATCCAAAGCTGTACATTCAATTATAATTTGATGAAAAAAGAATTTCAGGTTGATATTTGCCACATACTTTCACTTCTCTTAACATTTCAAATTAAACGGTGTTTTATAGAGTGACCTTGTGGTCAATACTGGATATTTGACAATAAAGAAAAAAATCTAAGACAAGATTGTTTATAAACAATTATTTATCATTGGGTAAATAAGAATGTTATTTTACATTTTAGGTTATGAAATACACTAAGACTGACACTTTTTTTAACCTGAAGTTGATGACATTTTCAGCTTAATACCAGATTTATAAGGATAAACAGGAATGACTTTTACATAAAAAAGCTAATAATTTCAGAGGCTATACAAAACATTAAAATACAAAATTACTTACTGTAAGTTGAAATATTTACATCAATCATCCACTGTTGGATGAAATACAAGTTTTTTTTTGTAAAAATGAACTAAATTTTATGTAAAATGCAAAAAGCATTTTGTTAATTCCACAGAAAAATAGGCCACAACAAATCTATTCCCCAAACTGCCAGATGATACACCTAAACAGTTTCCTAGTTTTGACTTTGCAATAACAGTAAAGAAACTCGAATGCTTCTGGAAGATGTTAAATTGTAAAATGATATCAACATTCTTAATACAATAGCCATTTTACAAATATCTGTCCTTAAAAAAAAAAAAAACTCTGAATGCTATTAAAAAGGTTTTTTCACTGTTGATACATTTTACACTGACTAAATCCAAACATTTCCCATCAACTACATTACAACAACTTTCAACACCTTAAACATCTGTAATACATATAGCATATAACCTAATAACACAAATCTTTTTGTACAGCAAAATCTACTCATCAAAGCTTTAAAAATCTGAAAATAAGTTCTTGGCAGTGTTGTTCACAACTTTCTCTTCAAAATACACTTTTTCTGGGTTTAACACGTTAGACAATTACTTTCACTAAATACAGTTAAGCATTACCTAAAATTTGTACACCTTTATCTACAGTACTCTTATACATTTCTGAAACTGTTCTAAATGCTGTATGGATTCTATGTTCAACACTGAAAACGATGATGCAGGTTATGGTATAAAATGTACTACCAAACTTGCATACAAACTTACAGATAAAGAACAAAATTACTATTACAATCATGTTTAAACCAACTGCTCTCTTTGAGCATATATCTGATCCAGAAGCTGCAGCACTTACATTTGAAGTGGTTTTTGTACATAGAACACATAAGATTGTCTTTTAACTACACCTGTGTTGGTAGTGCACATCATGTTGAACTCTAGGGATATAAATTATCCATGTTGGGCATCATCTTCAACAAAGTCCTCTGCCTCTGCTTTGGAGACACATTCAATATGACTAACCTGAAAGATCATAAGCATGATCAATTACAACTAAACATTTTCACAATGGATTCACAATCTACTGATATGACTGCTTTCTCATATTAATCCATTTAAAAATCTATTTGATATGATTTTCCTTCATCACAAATCAATGTATTCAAATATTTCTTAAAAGTCAAAGTTCTTACTTTATTCCTAAATTTCACTCCATAAAATTTGTCTGCATGTTCCAAAAGCTCTGGTCGGAAGGTTGTGGTAATGAACTGAGCATCAGAGCACAACTCGTGAATCATGTCTGAAATTATATAGAGTGCATTTGTACTATTCTAAAGGTGGGTTAAAATCATCTTCAGAATAGGAAATGCTAAAAAAGCATTTAGAAACCTGTAAACATTTCCATTATGAAACATGCAAATGTCGCAAGTTGAATTAATTACATATTAATTAATCTAACAAACATGCCAATAAATATTTGAATGGGAAACATCCAGGATAAGCAGTGTAACATAATTCAAGCTTTGGATAAGAGCAGGGTTAAAATCATGAGAGACAGTCTAGATTTTTAATAAAGTTCTAACTCCATATAATTTGGTTGTTACATAAATGGAGTTATACCTTCGTTAAAAAGCTTTTCATCAAAATAACATGAAAATAATACAGAAACAGTTCAAAGCTCTCACCTAGGCTGTATACTGTGACATTTTTGCATATTTTCTATTCTTGTATAACATTTCTCAGATGGTCCTCACTGTCAATGACTGTTAGCAAAACCTGTACACATAAACATGAGTGTCGCCAGCATATAAATAACAACAAATCGTTGACCAGTGCATACCTGCTACTGCTTTTCTATGCTGTGAGTCCAGTGCCTGGTCAATCTCATCAAACAAGTAGAAAGGGGCTGGGTCACACTTCTGAATGGCAAAGATCATAGTCAAAGCCACCAATGACTTCTGTCCACCTGATAACTGCTGCATGTCTCTCATCTCTGCTCTGTTACCAGTGAAAGATACCTGAACAAAGGTAAAACCAGTGTGAAAATCTCATATTTTTCATGCATTCTATACAAAACTGCACCACATTCAAACTGTATGGATGGTCACAAAGTAAAGCCAAAGATTATTGCTATTCACTTTATACAACAACCAGTTCAACTAAAAGATTGTCATATACAAAACAGAGTAGGAATAACTTCATTAAGTTATATCAGGGAAAAGACTTTTTGGCTCCCAGGAAATCAGAAATAATCCCACCATAAATAATCTGCCAACAGCCATCAAAAGTCATCCCTGTTATAGCAAATATGCATAAATAGTTTCTCCAGTGTTACCTTTATCCCCACTCCTGAGAACTGCAGCAGGGCTGGTATAGCATCTTGTGAACCGGAGGCACCTTGACTGGGGGCATCCTCAGGCTGAAATACGTAATACACATCCAATGAAGCACATATTTATCTATTACCAAATATCATAGAGCTAAGAGTAATTCTGAAAGTCAGTAGACAGGGTGAACATGATAAACAAAATCAGAATTTTCAGGGGTCAGTACTGCCGTCTAAACATTCAGTAAATGAAGTACTCAAGGCAATGTGGTCTATAAAACGTAACTTGGCCAAACTTTACATCTGACATTACAGCACTGTATGTAACAAGGAATGGTCTGCAGTAAGGACTTCTTACCTCTCCCTCCTGGTCACCTTTCTTCATAACCAGCACAGCGTGTCCTTGGGGGGCTAATTTTTTGAAGATTTCACTGAAGTACTTGGAGACCTTGAAAAATAAAATAAAATAAATAAATAAATAATAAAAGAAAACTTAAAATAATCAAAACAATATTCTACTGCTGTAATGCTGTTGAATTTTAACTATGTGCTTGGAGAAAAGAAAGTTAAAATTGTCTAAGACAACTACAGCTATGGCTGGAAGNTTGAAAAATAAAATAAAAAAATAAATAATAAACTTAAAATAATCAAAACAATATTCTACTGCTGTAATGCTGTTGAATTTTAACTATGTGCTTAGAGAAAAGAAAGTTAAAATTGTCTAAGACAACTACAGCTACGACTGGAAGATAATTTTGTTATTTATCCTCATAAATATAAATGGTTTTCTGAATCTTACCTGTTTGAATGTTAGTTGGATAGCTTCATACTTTCTTTGGTCTAGAATATCCATGAGGTCTGCTATTGACTAAAATTAAAAGTTGAGTGGTTACTTATGGTTTAAAACAGACATCTTTGATGTCATATTTTTTAAAGGGTTGACAAATTGAAAATTGGAATATCTGAATTAAAGGAGAAACATTAAGCTTTAACTTACAGAATGAGCTTTGTCTAATTCATCTTTTCTTTTTAAAAGTTTTTCCTTCTGATCTGAGAAGTTGACAAACTGGTCTAATGCTTTTTTATTGACATGGCTGTACTTCTTCAACTCCTGGTTGCATTGCTCAAGTTTTTTGAAAAGCTGAAAAAAGCAGGAGAGGGCAAGTTAAATTATCTGCATAAAATTATTCTTCCAGTCAAATTTCATAAACATGGTGTTTCAAAACTTTGCTTTTTTCATTCATTTAATCATTTTTTGATTTGCTTAATTTACATTTTCTACTATTAAAGTTCTTTCAGACACATCACTAGTATTCTCATAACTTTATTGGTTTGACCAATACTTGCCTGCTTTAAACTGAGATCCTGATATTTTTCAAATGCGTCACTGGGCAAGGACCCCAACTCTCGAATCTTTTTCATACATTCATCTTTCTGTAAAATAATACGGTTGGTAAGTTAAATAGTTTCAAAAGTCTTTCAAATTCATATTTGGAATAGTTTATCCTGTCAAAGCAAATATTTAAGACTGTTGTATAAACAGGTAAATTATAATATTTGCAATACATCTAGACTTACAATTCATGGTCAATTTTGTATACTTCACAGACTATAAAAAAAACACCTGCTTGCCTTTTTAAGCAGTAAACTCTGCTTGTTTGTCATTTTCTCCAAGTCTTTGGCATCTCCATCTATCTTATCTGTAACCTCTCTTTCTTGTGCCTGTAATATAAGAATGCCATTACAAAATGGTCTTATTTTATGCTTAATTAATGGGCTAAATTTTCAGCAGTCCTTAATAAATACAGTGATGTGTTACAAAACTTTTCACATATTATGTAAGAAAACAAAATAATAAAGAGTGGCAAAACAAGAGGCAAGATTATTAATAAATTATGCCAAAATCGTTTTAATTATAAAAAGCATTGTAGTTTCTCAACTTACCTTCCAATACTCTATGTTGTTCTGGAGCTCTCTTTGTTCTTTGTACATAGCCTCCAACTTGTCATCATGTTCTACATAACAGGAAGAAAAGAACTGACTGAAAACCAGTTTTTCATTAATTTCAAGCCCAAAAACCAATTCACCTATAACTCACATTACTAACACAAATCACAATGGTTGTCCAACTCTTAAAAGTAAACACAACATTTCATACCCTTGGTCCTTGATTTGTTCTCATTAATCCTGTGATCCACGGCCTGTATTTCTGTACTGGAGACCTCCAGCCTTTGTTTAGTGTCTCCAGCAGTAAGCCCCTCCATCTCCTGCATTAACTGGTCACGCCGCTTCATTAGGTTGTTGTTCAACAAGTTCTCCAATTTATTCTTCTCTCCTTCAAGCTGTATTGGTAAAATGAAAAGAGTCAATTTCCACAAGTCATTGTTTAAATAATCACTTGTATGATAATAACTAGTTTTACTGTAAATGATTCAAATCAGGTAAACACTCACTACAGAATCTTTTATAACTGAGCTTTAATTTTCTTGTCTAGAACTGGCACTCAAAAAATATTTTAGCAAGTGCCCCTCACAATGTATAGTATTGCTACTTTGCCCAATCTTTATATCAGAACAGTTGTTTTTCCAATTTCTTAAGAATAGATCAAATTTGTTAGAATGTGTAATCAAAAAAATAAAACTAACTGATGCAGCTGCATTTTGGAAACCTTTTTTTTTCAAAACTCATTAACACTTAAAAAGTGAGGTTGTTAAATTCCTTAAATTTCAACATGTTAATATCAAGCATCGAAAAATATAAAAATAACATTTTCATAAAAATCACTTAAATTCACAATTACAAAAAGCAACCCAATGAAAAATAATTTTATGAATTTAAAAGCTTAAAGTTAGTTACAACATATAACAATTTAAAATTAATAATCATTTGACAAACTATGCACCTTCTCCAGTTTCTGCAATGATAAAAAATAAGTGTCTATAAATATCATTGTGAGTTATTCCTTCTGTAACCAAAAAACCTGATGAGGCCTCACAATAATTGCATGGTGATGTTCTAGCAACATCATACATGGTATTTTAGTGTTGGGTTAAATTACAGGCTACACTTAAAAAGTAGTGATATGCAAATGACCCCCCCCCTTCAGAAACAAGTTAACTCTCTCTTCCTACCTTCATTCTCTCTTTCAAAGAATCTCTGTTTTGCTGTGTCAGCCGCCTGATCTCATCATTAAGACGATCCATCTCCTGCTGGTCATCTGTGCTCAGCTGAGAGAGCAAGTCTGTGCCGAGTTCTTCATTCAGTGACTGTGCCGAGGTCTTCATTGAATCCAAACTGGCCTGATGACTGGCAAGACTACGCTCCTGAAAGATTGATAACATATATATTCTGTATACCAATTTGGACTTAGAATTATATTCTTAACCTTGAGCAACACTGTTTGTTAGTTAAAAATACTATCCAGTGGTATTTTCAATAATAAACCTGCCCTATTGGAATACAAAACAGTGTTTCTTACCTTAGGCTGTCTGGCCTTTTGTATTTGACTGTGCTCCTCTTTCATCAGTCTCAAGTCTCCCCTCATCTTGTCGTATACATCTCTGAAAACAAAAGTGTGAATCATATAAAGGAATCCAATTACTAACTTATACAAGACACTATCCTTAAATATTTCTGAAATATTAAATATAATTGAAGTTTTCAATGTAATTTATATCATCCAAGATACTACCAATTCTTTTTTTTTTTTTTTTTTTTTTGTACACGAGTTGCACTGAAACCTTACTTTGATTTGCTGATCTTGGTCTCCCCTTTCTGCATTTCACTGATGATTTGATTTATTCTGCCTTCAAGAGGTATCAACAGTCAAGGAAACTTGAGAAAAACACTTAAGGCAAAACTACTTTTACACCTTAAAATAACATCTCTTCAGAAAACAAATCTCAATAGGCATGTTGTCTTTTCACACAATTATGATGAATTTCTTTCCACAGGAAATCAGAGAGAGAGAAACTTTCATAGAGCAGTAAAAACAGTTGAGATCATACACTGTAAACTGCAAATAATATATAACAGTTACTACTGTACTACAGTTTCCCCACTATAATTCCAGTTCAAAGGTTGGAGGTTGCAAAATTTTTCCAAAGGAAAGTTCCTTGTAAGATGAACAACAAAAACCCAGTTATCAGTTATATTCACATTGTCAACAAAGGATATCTTGCAATTTGGACCGGTGCTCTTCATATTCTTGTTCTTTCTGCTGTAGCTGCTCTGTGAGTTCAGCTTTGCTCTTCTGCATATCTAGGCGTGACCGTCGGGTATCATAATAGCCTCCAGTTAAAGCACCCCTACGACTCACTTGGTCACCTGTTGCATTAATGGTAAAACCCTGACTTAGTTACCGATTTAACCAGTAAAATTACTATTATCTAAATTATGCATTTAGCATTCATTCATAGACACAAATGTAAAATTCACCTTTCACATTATATAATGTTTGAATAGAGACACATTTCTTAAGACAAGATACAAAATGTGGTCAACTACATTAGATTACTAGAAAAGCTGTAATTCATATCTGCACCTTAACCTCAAGTAATGCACGATTTCAATTTTGCCTTCTAACAATCTTTTAACTTGAAACAAAACATAAAATCATTCCTTTTTTCTCCTGATATTGACTATCTCCACAACTCTTACCTTCCAAAGTGATACAATCCAGGTTCTGTGTTCTAGCTATCTGTGTGGCCACCTCCATGCTTCTACAGATAAGAGTCTTGCCAAACACATGCTTCATGGCACAGTCGAACCTTGGATCATAGTTCAGTTTGGATATCATCGGAATGGCATCCTGAAAATTACACCAAACACCATTTTCATTTAACAAGGTGTTTCCTTTATAATAAAAGGGCCCTTCAATCAACAATATCTATACTGTCATTATACTTACTGAACCCCTACTTAACCCAACTGCAGGAAAAAGATATGATCACTGTGCAAAATATACATAAAATTGCAGTCTTTATTGGCTGTTTACTGTGAAAATAAATATCTGGTAACTTATTATTAAAAAGCATAACAAATTGCAATATCTTTACTGTAGTGATGTCAATACGAAGATGTCTGTTAACTGGTCTTTAAAAGAAAAACGCAGAAGAAACACTTCAAGTGACCATGTACTTACATTTGTCTCGGGGTATTGAGTGTCCCTGCCATCTAGCCTGTTTAGAGGCATGAATGTGACCTCTCCTGGTAACTTAAGACGGTTCATCTCCTGCAAGATCCTGGTGCCCACTTTATCAGTGGAGACTATATGGTGAAATAATCTGAAAGATGATTAGACCAAATATGTCACCATGTGCCAATAATAAGGGCTAAGAAAGGTTTTAAGTTAGCTACAACTAATATGAATCTTTATTAGCTCTTTCAATTTTTGCTTATTTACTCCATTTAGGTATGCAGTTCAGTTAAAATCATTTAAACAAACAATAACTACTTACAAATGTAGGCTAATTTATTTTAATACTTTGTAAATTTGATTTACGTAAAATGGAAACCTATCTCAATAAAGTAATGCTCTCACTAACCTGTTTCCAGCAGTTACTTCTACACAAGTAAAGAAGGTCTTCTCACTTTCAAAGTTTTCTATTAGTGTACCATAATAACCATCTATCATGTCTTGATTAATTCCTCTTTCTTTGAATGATTTCAAGACTCTCTGGATACTGTCAATACCATTCAATATACCCTGGAAATATAATGGACAATTATAAATTATCATATATCATAAATAGATAATCAACAGTGAATCTGGTACGAATCTAAGCTTACAATAACGACAAAAACTTGAGAGTTACAAGATCTATTAAAAATACAAAATAAAATTGCCTTTTTCACAAGATAATAAAACTGCTTACTTTTCCCATCATAGATCTCATTGCCTGTTCTTTCTGCTTAAGTTCATCTCTAGAGGCTGCAATGGCCTGTTGCATGGCATTTTCTGTACGCCACAGATCACTAAAATTGAATGCCAAAAATTACTGCAAATGAAGAACCTAATTTCTTTATTTTAGCTTCTTAATTGCACTTTATTCTTGCACCATCGGAAAATCGAAAAACTGAAGGCAAATTTATGCAAAGCAGAGAGCATAGATCTTAGCTCAAGCTTTCCTTTTCATGATAAAGATTTATAGAGATTCAATTAGTAAATTAATCACTCCACTTACTTTCTTTCATTGGCCAATTCATCCTTCTGTTTTTTCAGTTCATAGTAACCTTTGTTGTTTTGGTCGATAACCTCTTTATATTGCTCTATTTTTTCATTAACATCCTAATTAAACAATAAAATATCAAATATACCGTTATTAATATTACAGGAAATCAAAGGTCAAGAGGTTAGAGAAAAAAATTCAATATTTTTAAACTTATAATTTAATTTTCTTTAAAATTTTATATTTAAAACTGACATATTTCCATCAAAACATGCTCAATGATGCAACAATTTGCAGTTAACAGTGATAAGCTACATGAAAGACAATTTACAGAAATTAATCCTCACCTTCATATTAACATCTAGTTGCTCATATCGTTCTTGACTTGTTCTCAGATCCTCTTCCAGGCGCTTGATCTGTAAAAAGCATTCATACTGCCTTGAAATTTTTCAGGTTTTATTTTTTCACTAGTATGGAAGCATTCAATCTTACCTTAAAGCTTTCCAATCTGACTTCAATAATTTTTTTCTAAATATTTCTAAATAAGATTTATACTCAATTAAATCCACAGCACACAATTTCATACCTGTTCTTCTTTGTCTCTGATGGCTCTGTTCAAAGACTTGAGTTCCTTTTTGATCCATTTATCTCTCTCTTCTCTGGACTGGAATTGATTGCCTCTACCTTGTTTGGCATACAGCTCTTTCCTTCTCTGTTCAGCCACTGTTAACCTGGAAGAGACAGCTAAGACTAATCATTTCTTACTATTTTGTGCAAAAAAAAAAGTGACTCGAGTAACTAATTAATACGTAGTTTACTGATATGTGGTTCATAGGGCCCTAAAGTTTTATCTTTCAGAACACAAATAATAGAATTTAAGAAAAATAATAATATCCTTGAACTTCCAGCCACGACTTTAAGTACTTTTGTAGTGAAATAAAAAAAAAATACTTTTTTCATAAAGAAAAAATAATTATTCTTCCCTCTCTTGTAATGTGTTAAATACAAATATTGTTTTAACTTACTGTGCGCCAACTTCTTCCTCCTTCTGTCGCAATGATTCATAGTGAGGGGTGATCTTGTCCAATTGTACTTGTGTCTTGCTAATTTTTTCATTAACTTTGGCAAGTTCAGTTTCCGTCTTTTTCTGAAAACCAAAGTTTCAACCATATAGCAAAGCAAATTGCAGCTAATATCAACCTAGAGTTCACCTAAAGCATTAAAAAACATCAAAATGTAAAGGAAATGAATGGTAAAATAACTTACTTTAGCACTTCTATCCCCTTCAACTTCATCCTGGTAATCCTTGATGTCTAACTCAAGTTTAGCCCTTCGTTTCATCAATTCTTGGTGTTCCGCTGTCAGTTGTTCTTTGTCGTCCATTACAGTTTGCACGCGTGTCTTCAGGTCACGAAGGTCTTTACTCAGATCCTAAACAATTTCAATTCAAAGGTATTTATACAAAAAAACTCCAACAGGATAATCATAACTTCAACATACAGTAACAAGTTATAATTCCAAACAAAGATGTGCTACTTGGTTTCAAATGCACATTTATCTATAATTCCTTTTTCTATAAAATTTATTTTAAATCAATCAAGAACAGCTTTTAGATGCTACATACCCTGACTTTGTCACTGGCAGACTGTTGGGCATCTCTTAGTTTATGTGTAACAGCACCACTGCTTTCTCTCTTATCTTGTAGCTGACAGCATAATACAAAACCACATTAGTGAAGTCACGTCATTTCGTTTTATGGCCCAGAAGTTAAACTACGGGGAATGTTTGAAGCGTCATTGTGCAATTACCCTTTTAAATGTCTTCTTTCACTCTTAATCAATGCATTTCTAGCATTATTACTTTTGTAAGACTAGTCCATGCAGTCATTTATTACAAACGGAACACTTTCTACAAATCAGCTGGTATATTATGAACAGAAAACAAACCTCTTCCAACTTTTTCCTTGTATCTCTGAGCTCATGGTCATGGATGGTATACTCCAGGGATCTATTAGAGATCAATGATGTTTATGAAATTTAAAATGGCATTGCAATTTATTTCTTTATCCAACAGTATTTATAGAACTCAAGTGTTAAAACTTTAAAATAACTCATTTTAGAATGTCTCTTCATTAACCTCAATTTCAAGCAAACTGCTCTGTTTGTTGAAAATTCTGTAATTAAATATACCTCCTCATTTTATCCCACTTCTGATATGCCTTCAATTCCTCTTTTTCTTCTTCAAGGGTGCTCAGTCTTTCCTCTATGTATTTTAAGAGATCTTCAATTTTCTCACGTTTCCCTTCTGCAAAATCAAAAACTCGAAAATAACTAATCACAACTTTACATTTTAAGTAATCTTCACAGGTCTCACTTAGCAAATTGCTTTTAATGACATTTTTTCATAATTTTGCACAAATTAGGTACAAAAGTGTTAAATGAAGGAAATACTCGCCAGTTTCTTTGAGTAAATTCATACTCTCCTCCTTTCTCTCATCATACACTCTGGTGCCAGCAACTTCTTTCAAAAGCTTCAAACGGTGGGAGTCTGGAGCCGTTGCCATTTGGTTGATCTATGTCAAACAACGTTATGTGCATAATTAGGACAGAGTCAAACATGCGAAAACCAGGAAGTCAATACGGCTTCTTTTTTATATAACTTATGACTAAAAGATTTATCATGTATTATCTTTGGTTTTTCAAGAACAAAATCTAAAAATGTGTGATTTAACAATAAAATATTCTTACTTTTCCCTGTTTGACAATATAATAAGGATTGCTTCTTGAAAATCCAGCACTTTCTAACAAGTTCATAACATCAGTTTTCCTGTAATGAAATGATATGATACATTAAAGCATTAAATTACACTGAAAATTGCTACTGCTTATTATATCTTTCAGATTTCTTTTTTAAGCTTGGTAAAGTAATAATAATGACAACTGCTACATGTATTGATAAAGTATAATGATCAAAGTAGCATGATATATCAAAACGTACGTGACCATCTTCTTGTCCAAGAAATATTGGTCTTTTTTTGAACCAATAACTCTTCTTAGGGTGACTTCATCTTTGTCAATCTACAAACAAATCCAAAAATAAAAGTATTTCATCAACAATACACCTTATCAGAAAACTTTTTGATATCCAGCTTGATATAGTGCAGTGACCTTACAAAAAAATCTTTATGATTAAAATCCTCTTGTAATGTCCTCCTTTAAGCAAAACACCACCACCTACTGTAAGCCAAATATTTAGTTTAAAGGTTATAAACAGATATAAGTTATAATTTTTCAACTTACCGGGATTCTGTTGTCTGAATTATCAAAGATAATCTCCACAAAAGCTGAGATCACCCTGGGTCCTGTGCCTTCATGAAGTAAGGCCTGCCTCTGTTCTGGACGCAAGTGGCTGAACTCGTCCGATAATACAAACTGGATAGCTGAAATTCAATATTTGTACAATATAATATACATTTTAAAAGAATATCACGTAATCATTCATTTTCTTCTCTCTTATTGAGAACTTGATAAAATATTAATATCATCTGCCGAGGGTAGGGAATACCTTATGCGGATTGGCCTTATTTTACCAGCGTGATGCGTTATTTGAGCCCAATTTTATGCATGAAACGTGATTCAGGAATTCTTGGTGATTGGCCTGAATATATCTTGGTGATTGAGCTGTTTTATTGGCAATTAAGGGGGGGGGGGGAGGTATTCTCTCTGCTCCAACATGACCAATTTTTAATTTTAAACAAAATTAAAAGTATGCAATAGCATGCTTAGTTTATATCCTTGTTGCAACATTTTAACAAGTATAAATATTGAGCATTTCAAATCTGGTCTTTCCATCACATCAGATTTACCAAGACTGCAATAAGAGGATATTTACATGTTACCAACTAAAGGAGCAAGTAATCACACATCCAAAGACTCTATATTATGCTATATTATGTAGTCCTCACAAAAATGTTTACAACTACTCACCATAAAAGAAGTTACTTTTTCCAGACCCATTTCTTCCCACTGTAAAGTAAAACAAACACTAATAGGTAAATATACATATGACTAACAATATTTCATTACTATCTATATCAGTTAAACCTGACCAACATTTTACACATTCACAGAAGCAAAAAAACTGTGTTTCATGCCTAAGTAAAATAACCATTCTTTATACAACACACTTACCAATTACATTGTGTTTTGGGCTGAATGGTTCGACAATAGTTTGGTCCCTGTAACTTCGGAAGCCTTGAATAATCACCTAAAATAAAGAAGCAAATGATTTGATGAAAAGAATTAAAACAGTATACAAATGCAACTGAAAAGATAAACTCTGAGTTTTGAGATATTAAAAAGAAAACAGGTCAAGTTGACAAAAGCCAATACATGTCATTGTTGATACAGCTAAAGACACTTCGGCTTCCTTTTGCATGCGCATACATGGAAATATCCCTGATCTCATGATTAGTGTGAACGCATTCTATTTTGCTCATGTCATTTTTGGCAAGGTTGCCTTCAATCACAGAAATGCAATATTAAAAAGTAAGTGTCCACCGGCAATGGGACTAAGTATTCGCTTGGTTGAATATCACCCCCGATGAACACGCAAAATATCTATTACTCACCTGCTTAATGTACATTATGGTATCGCAGTGGTATTTGTGCGGTTAGAGCTCCAATTGACATCCAATTTAACCGATCACAATTCCACTGGCAGATCAAATCAAGCACCTATTTTGCTACATAAGAAGCATGGGGGTCATTCATCACAACTACCAAATCCAAAATGGCGGCAAATAAAGGTGAATGTTCGCTTGAGTTCCCCTATAAAATATCTAAAAATACTTCAAACATAGATATTTGATCGATTTGCTTTGGTTTTAAATAATATTTTCAATATTTTGACGGATAACTGTGGCTCGAAATGAAGAAAAAGAAATAAACACATATTTCATATAGTACTATTTTAGTAGAGCATAAGCGATAGCGCAGGTATCGCGTTGGCGGGAAGCTGATTGTGGTTGGTGAGGTCATGTCCAGGGCTCGGGCCCTCAAGTGTGATTGTGGCAGAGACACCACCCTCAAATGCCTACAACGCATGCGAACGCACGATATGTTCATTTATTTCTCTTCTCTTTTTCTTAGACCCTCTTAGTTTTGTAATTTTGTATACGTTTTGAAATATAGGCCCAAGACCTAAGTGATTGTGGATCATAAGCAACTTATTATCAAAACAGTCTAATGCCGCAATCTTGTCCTGAATTTCAAATCACCTTACACAAAATTAATTTGTGCTAGGTAGCCTATAGGCCTAATCTTTAACAGCAGAACTCTCTTAACTGCATGAATCCATCAAAGTGATGTGACATTTGGCTACGTACCTATACTCCCCCGCACCGACACTCCCCCGCACCGATACTCCCCCGCTTCTTTACATCCCCGCACCGATACTCCCCCGCACTGATACTCCCGCGTACCGATACTCCGCAAAAACACTACTCCCCCAAGGCATAGATTCCCTTGGCTTTGTAAACCCCATTCGTAATTTACAACACTTTCTGTAATGCTTTTTTTTTTCAAGATGCACCACCCTCTTGGGACCCAGAATTGACAAATTTTATTCGAAATATATTGGGAAAAATAAAGAACGTTACANGGAGTAACGGTGCGCGTATAACGGCAATTTTACAGGGGGTTTATCGATGCGGGGATCTATCGGTGTGGGGGCGTATCGATGTGCATAATGCAAAAATTTACTAAGGGGGAGTATCGGTGCGGGGGAGTATCGGTGCGGGGGAGTAACGGTGCGGGGGAGTATCGGCATGACCCCTGACATTTTTACTAGACATTTTTTTTTTTTTTGAAACACAAAATTCACTGCAACGGTTCATCTCTTAATTATAAAAATACAAGTCCTGCTTATTTAGGCTATTCATTTTCAAATTTTAGTCTTAGGCTAGGCCCTACTCAGTTTTGTACCATCTATCAGCCACATCATTTGACAGGACCATGCTAATATATAATTCTGACGCAGTGATGCAGGTAAACAGATTTGAAATTACCATTTAGGCCCTAACTTCCTAGTGGCGGGTTTAGAGGGAGGGGGGGTCTTGACCCCCCCTTTCGATTTCGGAAAATCCAATGGTCCCCTCTTGAAATTAGAATTTTGACTAGCTGAATCATAGTCTTAAACCACCGTTCGCCCTCTTAAATACCAAAATTTACCTAAAATACCTAAAATACCCCACGCCAAGGGGGGGGGGGGGGGAGGTCTGCTTCGCATCGGCGCCCCCCCCCCCTTTCAAACAATTCTGGATCCGCCCCTGCTTCCTGCCGTCCATGTCACCCTCCTACATTATGAAGGGTTTGCCATCGGCCAATAGGAAAATTGCATAGAATAATTGCATAGAAAAATAGAGTTAGTAGTTTTGCTTTGTTTTTCATTTTGACTTTAAATTAATAATGAGGCAATCAATATAGCAGCAGATACAACAGGAATTTTCCAGGAACATATAGCTTTTCCGTCGTAACAGGCCGTTTTTCCAGGACGCTTTTCTTCTATATATTTATAGAATTCTCCAATTAAAAATATAAAAATCAGTTCAGGTTTTAAAATACATTTTGATGTGTGGAAATAAAGGGCTACATTTTTACATTGGCACAAGCCGAAAGTCGCTAATACTTTGTACGGTGTAGCCTATATAGGCCTGCGGTCTCATCACAAAGGGATCTTCCTACTAGTACTTTCAGACATTTCCTTTCACTGCCTTTGTCAATTAATTTAGATAATTTCATCTAGAGCAGTATGGGCTAATAATCAACTAAATGGCCAGTGAGATTTATTTAAATCACCTGCCCTAAGACTTTGTGACATTTTAAACGCGGATATTTTAATTTCTCACTTAATGATTGACAGTGCAGCGTATTTCGTATCAAATTGTCGTCGTTTAGTTCATACAAACTACCACACAGAAACACCCAAAGTGTTTAAAACATGAAGTTTACTAAAGCGATTCAAGTGTGAAATTCACGTTGTGCATAGTTTACAGTCAAAATATCATTATCCATTTTAAATGACAAATAAATTATTACCTCCGCCAAGGAGGTTATGTTTTCACCCCTGTTTGTTAGTCCGTCTGTCATCAACATAACTCAAAAATGAGAGAACAGTTTCATTAGCTCTGTATGTATCAAATTAAATTATTGTTTTTCTTTTTATAAATTTACTCCCTGATGATGGTGACTGACACTCACAGAAATATTGGAGGTAATACCCACATATTTTATAAGCTCTTGACAAAAAGAAAAACAATAATTTAATAACTCAAAAAGTTATGGACCGATTTTGATGAAATTTTCAGGAACTGTCAGAAGTGGGCCAAGGAGGAGATGATTAGTTTTTGGTGGTGATCCGGATCAATAATCAATCAATAATCACTAATAAAAAATATCGAAATTTTAGGGGTGAAATGGCATTGGATGGAAACTTTGCTGCCTTGGCGGAGGTCTGCGCTCTCTGAGTGCTTTTCTAGATATTATTTTTATTATTATCATTATTATTATTGTTATTATTATTATTTCGGACAATTTGCGACAAGTTGAGAGTTTTGTTTATTGTTTATTGTTTGCATCAATTGATTAACACATTGTATTTGGATGGGGGTTTCTAAGAACTCTTTAAATCACAGAAATGTTAAAAGCTTTGAATACAATAATTTTACGTCACACAGATAGTGCTCATACGATGTAATTAAGAAAACTTACTATTTCCATTATTCTATTATTTTCTGTGGCTAACTATGTTTACGAATACAGCGCCCATGATTATTACACGCAATTCATTGATGCAACTGCATCAGCGTAACCACTCAAAGTAAAGGAAGCAATTTGATGATGAACAGGATCGATGGCGAATGAAAAACGGAATGGAAATTAAAACCATTTTTATTACAGAAAAAAAAGAAAATAATAGGTTTATTAAAAAAACAGGTTCGGTGTTTCTGCACTTGTTAAAATTTTAAACCAGGTTAAAAATACAAATGACAAGATAGTTTCATCTAATATAAACATAAAATTAGCCCCATATATCTATAAAAAATATTGAACATATTAATTGTTGTGACTACTTACAACTGAATTTATCGATATCTTTCGGCTGCTCAAAAAATTAAGGTTTTCAATGCAATTTAGCTTTCTATTACATTAAATTTCTCATTCAAGGAAATATTTCAATCCGTTACTTTTCGACGCCTCTTGGGCCTAAATATTCTATCTCGCTCGACCCCCAGGCCTAAATATATCTGTACATATATTCTTAAGTGCATCACGAAATTTCCTACCAGAAATGAAATACAATAGGAAATTTATGCTGTGATTAGTATATAACAAAATAAGAACTATCTGTTCTACAAGACGGTGTATTTTCTGAGAGTGCTCAGAGCCATCCCGCCAATATGGATCCGTTATTAGTTTCACAAAACTCGGGGTTGCCAGAATGAGGAACGCAAACGAAGCCACAAGGAGCATTAGTGTGGTGGACCGGGTCTTTGACTGTCGACGGCGAATCGATCTTGTGGACATGGTCCTATTTGTCCTCTGGACCATTTCAATTTCTCCCACTTCTGAATGCCTTCCGGTGGTAGGAGTAATCTGGTCAACATTCGGACATCCTTTGCTCCGAATAAGTAGCTGACGAATAATGAGCACATTGAAAATAAATATCAGCGTAAACGGTCCGAATCCGTACAATGAAAATACTAGCCATGGTAAGATATGCTTCCAAAAATGCTTGTATTCGTCTGTTGGATAGGAACATTTGGCGATTCCATTAGATACCAACGAACATGTCCAAAAGACATGGAGGTTCTTTAAAATGACCAGTGTCACGATGAGGGCCAAGACTTTCATTACTCTATGAATAGCACCAGCCTTGACACGTGAAGACACAGTTCGCCAAGGCCAACGTACTGAAATAAAACGATCTATAGTCACAGCTACTAAAATCCATGCGGAAGTGTCCAAACTACAATATAAAACAAACCTCTGCGTTTTGCAAAGAAAATCGCTCATATTTCTAACGTCAAAACCACTGTAATAGATTAATAAATGGCGTAAAAGACCAGTCCACAAAATAACAAGATCTGCGACTGCTAGGCAACACAGATACATGCCAATATCCGTGCAACGAATATGCCGCCTTGACATGACTATTAAGACAAGGATATTGCCAACTGTTCCAAGAACCAAGAGTCCTGGTGCAACTTTATCGAAGATGCATGGTTGCCCCAGCAACGAACAGGCGCACTGATTTGACGAGCAGATATGAAAAGTCCTGTTATCATTAAGTTCTATTGTCCAGTTAGAACAGTTCATCATGGCTGAGCTACCACGGTTTAAAAGACCAATCTTGTCGATATATAGTACGTAATGGTACTGCCACGGGCTCTAAGAGCGTGTTTCGTAAATAATTTGACAGTTCTCAGCAACAAATGTATATATTACAACACTACTGGGGCGTTATTCTCTCGACGTACTAGACCTATGCTTAGAGCATTCTTCACTTCTTGGAATGATATCTTGCTGAGGTATGAGGCGAAAGAACATCTTCAGAGGAAACATCAAGCTACACGTAGGTTCCAGTATCAACATAAAAAAACATCGCTAGTATTTTCACTTGACGCTCCCTCTCCTTTCCTGGAAAGTCCTTCTCTTATCTACATCTGAATTCTGGTATTTTCAGGAAGAAAATGTCTTCCTGCTCTATCATCAGCGTTGATTTCACTGATAATATTGATTACTAAGTGCATCTTGTAACATCACTTTAGCGAATATAATCCAATCAAATCGAGGGTAGGGAAATGATGATCGGAATGGTTACATATTGCGTCTGGCAATAAATTAATCCATCACACTATTTATTCCTACTCCCTTCTTTTTCGTGAATAATTTATAATTTAATTTCGTGTTAGCCGTATTACCTTTGCATATAACGTTAAATTTCTGATTAATGAACTACGAGTAACTGCTTTCTATGGTCATTTCAAACTTCCGCGTAGCCGTTGTCCTGATGACGGTAAATACAAAACCGTTGCGGAATCTAAAGGCAGAAGCGCCGGGTAAATTGCCCTGTCGTTCGGTTGACTGTGTTGATGTAATTTATTGATCACTAATGAACAGATTTTTTGTTCGTATTTCCTATTCAAAAAGAGATAATGTACCAAAGCTTTTAAAGTAATGAAAATTACTTAGGCTGAGAAATTTGCATTGGGGAGAAACGAGAAACAATGCGCATAGTTCAGGAAATAGTCCTGAAACAAACGTATGTACATTATTTAGGTGTAATGAACTTAACAGGGTGCTAGCGTGACCTGTTTTTTTTTTTTATACCGTCCATTGCATCTTTTTACAAACACATTAGCTATAGACTTTAGGTATGGTTATTATTTGAGTGAAATAAAGAAGCAATATTTTACCCTCATTAGCGTAATAAATATTTAAGTAGAGATAATCATTTAAGTAAAAGAAACATTATAGGCTATTGTCAACTTCCTACTTAAAATGAATAATACATGTATAATGAAATTCAAGTTTCTTTTAGCTAAGATCTTTTTAATCATGAATCCTAGTTAAAACAGATTTTCATTTATCGATCCAGACCAATAGTGACACTAACTGTAGCTGAGCAATAACTACCTTATTCTTTCTATACACATTTTCATTTGAAATTAAAATGCGTATGGTATTCGATAAGCCCGGTCGGCCCAAGATAAGAGTGTTTGGTAATTATTTATTTATTTTATCGTGTGTCAATAGGAATTTGATATGTGTGGATTGGAGTGCATTTGCAAAGACAGCGACTGAACTACGCATAATCCTCCTGATTGAATAATTGATGACAAGATTTTATCGCAGATTATATTACACGATCGTCTGAATCAGCAAACTAAAGCGAGCATGTTTTAACTTAAAAGTCACATTGCGACTTACACCTCTATATTATAAACTTAAAATTTACTGAAACTTTCAACACTTTCTAAATCATCATGGTGAAATAAATCACAAGATCACGAGCTATAAACCGGGTTTTCTTTTCTAAGAATTTCATTTTAAAGCCATTCTGGTGGGGGAGATTAAGACTGGCGAATTCTACTCGTAACGGTGAAATTCAGAAACCATAAGAGCTAGAAAACGGGTATATGGATCGTCTCAACGATTTTGGATAAAGGGCACCTAGTTGATAAAAGATAAATTGCTGATATTTTCAGGCAAATCTATTTAGATTTCTCATGTGTATTGGTGGACAGTTTTTCTCAAAATAAAAAAAAATGTAATCGATGTGCAAGACTGGTTTTCCCTAAACTATCCGTTTTAAACTAAATGGGACGAATACTTTTTTCATTCACTCTTCAAAATAAAGCGATTTTTGTGATGAGTCATGTCAAAAACTGAAATTTCATTGAACGTGACGATAAGGATCTGATAAAAAATCTTTACTGTATATAGAAGGATTTTGAATGAAAAACATTAAAACGAGAAAAACACTCAGAGGGCGCAAGCCTCCGCCAGGAGAAGTAATTTATTAATAATTAACCATTAATTGGTCAATGGATCGGCACCAAATTGTAAACTATTTTAAGTTGGCCCATTTCTGACCTATCTTGAAAATTTCATCAAAATCCACCCTTAAGTTTTTAGGTTAGTTTGGTGACAAACAAACGGAGGTAAAAACACTTCTTTTGCGGTGGTAAGTAGCGCTAATCGTTTTTGCCATCTTAGAAACAAATGTTTAATTGCCACAGGTACACTTATATAGTTATAAATGCGTTCCAAAACAATACAAAATATTTAAGACGCAATACTGTCACATAAAAGAAAACTCGGAGCACTTCATATGTGTGGTTCCACTCTAGAACGTGAACAAAATACCCTTAAATCAGAAAACATCTTGCACAACTCCCTTCGAAACCGTTTTCCTGTCAAACAGTAGAGAAAAAAGGTAACCGTGTGATTCAAATAGTTCATCACGTGCGCTATGGACACCACCAATGCAAACACCGCCCTGCGATGGGGGTCGGATTCTTTGGCAATACGTTTCTCCATCAGCAAATTTACCGTGCTAGGGAAAGTAAGAATAAGGAAAATGAACGAGACCCACAGTAGCATTATAGTGAATGAGACCGTGTTGTCCGGGCGAGATACTGACGACCTTTCGGAATCCTGTTGAGAACAACTTACATCTCTATTCGACTGCTGACTCGTGCGCGAAAGGCTTACAGAGGCGTCAAGACGAGTTTTTCTCAAAATGAACAGTTTGCGAATGATGAAAGAATTGAGAATGATCATGGAGAGAAATGGTCCCAGAACGTAGAAAGACGACACGTACCACGGAAGAATCTCCTCCCAGAAATATTTCGCATTCGGTGAAACAAACCCACACACGTCAACCAAGACCTCAGTGCCATTTGAGTTAATATCGTATTCCAGCCCTCTTGTAAAAAACACATACGAATCTTGGAATGTTGTGAATACAGCAACTATAATAAGGGAGATTCTTGCTCTTTTCATGGAGAATTTCAAGTTGAGTCTGTAAGGTACAACGACCGATATAAATCGCTCCAGTGTCACTACCACAAGAATCCATGCGGAAGCATCCAAGGCGAAGTACAGTACAAAACGCTGACCAAGACACATAAACAAACTACTCCTTAGGAGATCATATCCGTTGTACTCTTTCAAAATATGGCGCATTAGGCCAACCCAAATTGCCACTGTATCTGTCACTGCTAGAGCTGCTAGGTAAAGTGCTGATGGCAGGTGACGCATCCCCTTTCGGCACATGACAAGAAATGTCAACACATTACCCACGGTGCCGATACACAAGTAAAGCGGAGGGAAAACTCGCCATATTTCCCGTGCAATGATGTACTCGTAGTAACTTTCTGTAAATGCCATTGAATTGTTGGTTACTGGACTTCACCCTTGCTGTATCACTGTGCTGTGACGTACTTAGTGATGGTATTCTCTGACCCGCAGTGCTGATAACATGAGATAATATAACAGGCAATGCTGCTGTTATAGATCGTTCTAACTGTACAACACGATCTTCTTCGTATTATAAGTTCCCTAAAGTATTTCCAGATGAGCGTTCTAGGCCCCAATAGTAACAGTATTCCATAGCAACATCTTAAGTCACAGTTTCCTCCTTGCACAAGAGGTCTTATCACCTTTGTAAACTTAAATTCAATAAAAAGATCTTGCGTTGCCAGAAGTATTCTTTAGATATTCTTTGTAATTAAGTTCGTCGATGTTATTGAAATCCAAAGTTGCTATGGATTTTTAATATGAATATTGAAACTCTGTGTTATATTTAGAAACTTAAAGGGGAAGGAATCTTACGTTCTTTCATTCCGAGGAAAGGCTACTTAAACTTGCACCGAAAGAATCTCCATCGTTGCTTATACCCTGACGAAATACCCCCCCCCCATCTTAAATAGGAAAATTCTTTAAGGTACAAAGATGCTTGATGGTTTTGATGTTAAAACATATACAGGCCACATCTAAAAGCACGAAGGAAAAACTATTTTGAGTTAAATATAGTTTTGTACTGCATTTTGTCAACTGTATCCGACCTCTGGTTGATGCAAAACAACGTTGACAAAATATCAGATATGCACCGCAAGGCGAAACATTCCTTCCCTGAAATGGCTATTATATATATGCCACAAATGATAAAAACAGATAATGATACCCAGCACGCATACATATATATACTTGTTGGTGACTAGGGCCAATAGCAAATGAAGAATTGCGTTTGGTTGTGTTGATTGTAGTAGGTGTGCTGCAGTGGCTGCTGCGATAATCGTGTTGATGGTTTGCCCCAACTCGTTTAGTTCCCCAACGAACCCCTCGGATTAATCTGAACTTGGACCAATGAATTTAAAGTAATTTGTATTAGAATTCATGAGAGTTTGCAATGGAGTTTTGGCATGTTATTGTACCCAAGGTTATATTAATCAAAGAAATTATGTAAGTTTGAAAGAAAGACATTAAATTTTTAAAGCATTGACTCACAACTGCAACTCACAAATCTGTTTATTGAAAAATACATACGAACAAAAGTATTTTAGCATTTTTAGCATGTTTACGGCAAAAGACAGCCGAGGTTTCAAACAGCTTGAAGCAATGCATGTTGATTTGTGGGATCTTTTGTTGAGACCCGCGGATGAAATTTCGCTCGCCATACAAATTTATTGTTCTACCTGAGTGCCCGTAACTCTTATCCTCGCAAAATCTACTTATTCATGCCCATAATAGCTCCAGATACCAGACAGCAAATAGTCCAATTTACATTTATCGGGGCTCCGTCGGGTAGACTGACAAATTTTGTATTCTGGTGTGGTATTTTTTTAAAGATGATGACTTACATCTTCGATTTTTCATTTGATCTAAAATGAAAGTTTTGTCTGATGGCGAAAAACAGTAAGAAAAAAAAAACTATTAAGCGATAACCCTGCTGTAAGCATGGATCAACTTAAAGAAGTGTACGCAAAATAAAGTCATAATAAAGTTTCCATAACATCTGTCTTCATAAGCTTGAAAAGTGATTTAAAAGCACACGTGAGAGGTCATCATGGGCAAAAGCACGTGTTTGTGAGTGTGTTCAAGGGAAGAGGGGGAGAGTTGCTGTGAACTGAGACATTTTAATTGATTTTTATCGCTAGTTTGAGTTTTATCTTAGGACGATCTACTTGCATTAATATACCACCTGTTGGCCCCTCTTCCGACTAAGTCACGGTCCACGACACTTTCACAGCAAGGCAATAGCTTTTATTTGGTGACCTAAGTCTTATCAAAAATGCATTGAGCTCCGTGCATGCTGAGGTGCATTAGAGTTGATGTCGCACCACAGTTTGTGATGTATACAAAATTGTCATAGAATTTTAGATAAGCAGGACTATATGTTGTGAGAGTGCAAAGAAAGATAAACTGCTGCCCGTCTTCAGAGTCAAAAACAATGTTGCCAGTTTTATGGTAAGAAATCCACACTCGAAGATGTGGTCGAGGGGCTTGGCAAGAGAACAAAAATTTGAAGATGAAGCGTTGGTAGCCTAACTAGAAGAAGCATTCAAACTCGTTCCAATGGCGCTCATTATAAATCTAAAATCATTAGATAATTTACCAGGAAAGGCTGACAGATTTATCAAGGTGAAATTTCGAGGTAAGTTTTACATTGGGTCAAATTGAATACCCGAAGAGAGAGTGTATGTAATGTTTCAGGTTTGCACTAGTTCCGTGTGATTTTATACGAGACTTATAGCTTGGGCGCTTTTGCTCATTTGTTTTCTTTTGAAAAAGTACGTTATAATTAGTTCGAATTAATATTTTATACAATGTATTAAGAATCTATCTATTTAAGTATAGACCCAGTGTATATCACGTTTCATGTGAAGCCGGCATAGGATATTTTTTGTCACGGATAGATGATGTTCGAGAAGAAAAAATATGCTGCTCACGTGTCAGTACGTGTGCATGGAAAACGTATTATTCTCGGACGATTTTCCACACATTTCAGTGGCATTTTTAGATGGCTAAAATATAAAATGTAAAAAAAAGTAAAATTAAAAAATAACTTGCAGAGACTCGAGAGAGAAACCAATGGATTAAGCCACCCTTGGACATAATAACGAATAATCAGTTGAAGCAGTGTGTGATAATCTTTAAGCACATACCGGATAGAGTATTTTGAAATTGCTTCGTGAAACAGGCGCTATTAAAATATTTATAGCAACTTAGAGACCAGCATGTACTGGCAAAAATGTATCTAAATAGCCCAATAAAGTTTCATTTGTCAATAGCCATAGAAAAAAAATTAACTGATATTTACCAGCCAATATTTTGTCTGCTGAGACTTCATCAGAGAAATGAGGGCTGTCACTGTGATATATATTATCACCTTAATATTGGCTGGTAAATATCAGTTAGTCTAGCTATTGACAAATGAAACTTTATTGGTCTATTTAAAACACATAGCTAATGTAACTGTTGAACAAAAAATGTCTTCAGTATATACACAATAAGGTGACTTGCCCACGATGCAATAACACTTCACAACGACAATGTATGTCAAAAAGATAGATATCATGTGTAACTCATTTGCAAATGGTTCCCCTTTAATCACCCTGAGCTTCAGAGCTAACTTGACACTAACCTTTTCACTGTAGCCTATCTCCATCGTGTCAAGTAACTTGACACGATGGAGATAGGCTACAGTGAAAAGGTTAGTGTCAAGTTAGCTCTGAAGCTCAGGGTGCCTTTAATGAGATGCCACCTGAATATAAATTTTTTAAAAACACGACTGGATGCAGTATGCCCCTAAAGTTTAGTTGAGCGATAACTTCCATTTATTATATCGACATGTATATCACTGAAACTTAATTGGCAGTGTCCTGTTCAGAAATGCATTTGATAGAGATCGACACTTACCCGGAGTTGAGGAGCCCTTGTTACATCATTTTGTGGGCTATATCTTACGCAACATCAGATTTGCATGAGCCAGTTAATATCAATCGAAGTTTGGCCATGGGAGGAACACATTTCAACAGATTACAAAAAAGTTCTCGGACCCACTCTCCTAGTGTATACGGAAAATTTCGTCGTTCTTGAAAATTTCGTCAGCAGACGATTTTCCGCCGACGTAATTTTTTTCACTTTGAAAACTTCGTCGACCTTGAAAATGAGGTACAATAATAATGATGTACAATAATAGCACCTGTTTTGGACAAAATTAATGCTGCGTCGGGCCTTTTACGTCCCTGGTAGGCCTATACTCAAAAGAGTTAATGTCTCGATGTCATGATTCAGCAAATCATGGAAAGGGGGTGGTGTAGCTTTATATCCATATATCTATTCGCGTAATTCGCTTGCGGGTCATATGGATTTATTCCCTATACAATGTACATTAGATATATAAAGAACAGAAATAATAGTCCCCCCCCTCATATTTATTATATAGAATCTTAAAATTAGCCGTACATTTACAAATTTGACCTTTTTGTTTTAAAAAGTTTACAAATCTGACTTTGCAAATGTGTTATAAAATTTTTTGGTTATAAACTAAAAAAGTTTTAAGTGCATAAGTCTGTATTAAAAGTAGCATTTTTAATGATGATTATTGATTTACTTAGTCAGCCCCGAACCCCACGCCAAGTGGGGGGGGGGGGGGGGGGACGGGGAGGTCGGCTTCGCATCCGTGGACCCCCCCCCCCTTCAAATAATCCTGGATCTGCCCCTGTAAAGTATTCATAGATGCTAACAGTCGTCAGATTTCTTTATCCGTAAGAAATACATGAACAAAACATAATAGAACCCTCGTTGTATGTAACCTTTTGGGTTGTGGGCATGCTTGATCGCACTCCTTTCGCATCAGAGTTATGCACGTAGTTTTAACTCGTCAACATCTTTTCTCTGTCAATCACACGCGAATAATCATTTCTGCTAGATAACAGAAGTGGTTTTTCAGGCCAACAAATTTTCATGCGTGTTCTCAAAACGAACATATCTATGTCCATTATACATGTATGTCTAAGGTTTTGCACCGAGCACATACCGGATACCTATTTTATCAGCTGTCTGGTACACTGTTCCCAGCGGGCAAATTATGTTGTTTTAACGTTGAAACAACGTTGAACCATAACGTTGAGTAGACATTGGATAAACGTTGGATTTGAAAGCTGTGTCAACCTCAGATAACAACGTTGTATCAACGTCAGAAAACAATGTATATATCAACCCCACCCAGTGGGAAATAAGCCTGGATGTGTTTAGCAGTAGGACATGTTTGATGGCTAAATATATGTAGGGTAGAAATGTATGGCCTTTAAGTTAAATTTTCCAAGGTTTAGATTAATATATATATTCAATTCAATTTCAATTTATTTCTGTACTGGTACATAGATTGTCATGACCTTGTACAATTTGATATACTAATGATGATACAATACAGTTAGTGCATTACCATCTTTATATAATGGACATACGTATCAGTAAAATTACTCATAAAATATTCTATCTAAGCAATGCGATAAACCTTGGTGTGATTTTAAATTTACCATAAACATACTATAAACATGTTACACAAAAATAATATGTTTAAACTTAAAACCAAGGTTACATAGCTGTTTAAGGCCAGTTTGATGACATGGATAATTACGACTAATGACAATTACATAAGACAGATAAGTAAATAAGTGACACAGATATAAATATTGTGCCATGTTCAGTCCCACTGCCGAGTCACTTCTCACAACAGTGGGACCATACACTGACATTTTAAGGGATATGCTAAGAGTTACCAAGCATATATATATATATATATATATATATATATATATATATATATGCCTATAAGAAGATAACTACTATCATATATATATATCAAAGTCACAGTCACCTCAACCTGTCTAACTATAACAGGTTACCAATAACTGTTAACTCCACCACATTTACAGCAACTTATTCATCCTAGTGTTAGCTGACCTTGCAAGTATTTCAGTTTATTGGAATGTATTTCTGAATAACAAGTTAAGAAAATTCACTAGTTAACTAAAGACACAAAACAACTGTCACTTTTACTTTAAACCCCTTTTGTTATTATATTGATAAATTTAGTTACAGTATTGATGAACAAAGTATCACGTTTTCAATAATTAATATTTTAAATTACAATCCATAACTGCAAGGTTGTGTCATTGACCAAAATACAACGTTGAGTCAACGTCACATTATGATGGTGTTTCGACGTGGCTGGATCAACGTTGATTTCACTTTGAATTTAGGTAGATCAACGGCAATTCAACGTATCAACCTGTTTTCAACGTTGATCCAACGCAACTATGCCTGCTGGGTTCATCTTTTACAGGGCACAGTTTTGGTTCAAAACACATACTTCACAGAGAGGGCACAACAACCACCCATCCTAAAATTTAGTACCATACCCCACTCCACCATTGACCGAATACCCAACTTCCTTTTTTGTCTAATTCAGACTTGGCTATTCTGGAGTTCTAAGTTTAACGAAAAATTTTTATAAGCCGTTTGCTAAAATGGAATTCCCTTGGTGTCATCAACATTTTTATCCAGCTTGCCGATGATTCTATGCGTTTCAGAATAAAATCGACTGTAAAATATACTATCCATTACTCAAAAAAGGATACCTGTGATATAATGCCTCTATATTAAAAATCTTTAACGTTCTTATAAAGCCAATTATGAAATGAATAGTTACCAATAAAACCTATTGATGGTGCACCCCTTCTTTTTTCGCATGAAGTTAAAAACAGTTTTCTTTGCAAGGGCATATTCTTCCATGACTTTTAAATAAAAGTCAAAAAAAATGTAACGAACGGTAACTTACCGTAAATTATAAAATTAATCTTTTCTGAGCATTTTCGTAATTTAAAAATGAACAGTAGGCCCTTTCTTGGACGAAAAAAGGTTTTATTCACCCAAGGCCCTATTAATGCAGCAGGCGGTTATATATGCAACGTTTAATAACTTGACATTTGTTTTCATAAATATTTCAATTGAAATTGAAACACACAGACAGATGCATAATCAAATGTAACGAGATATAACAGTGAATGAGTGATATTGAGTTTAAATCAAATCTTTCATCACTGTCCGATGATAAGGCCGAAATAGCTGAAAGGGGATGATGGAGCTTCTCTGGCATTTCCATTCTTCACTTCAAAAAGGGCGTGAAGGTTCGTGGTAGCAGTATGCTTTCTTTTTTTTTTTTTCAATTTAAAAGATACCGGATGTTGGTAATTTCAATTGACTTAAAATAGACTTTAAGTAAAATTTTCCATATTTTAAAAAATATATGCCTAATTACATGAATCCATTAAGATTTGGAACATATTGAGCATACATGTTCAACTGCTGATGCTTTTACTGCTACAACTACTGCACTAAGACAATTTTACACTCGTCAACGTCGATTGTTTCCAATTAAGATACTAGTGTTAGACTCTCTTAGTTCTGTCTATTTGAATGTTTTTATATAGTTTTTTATTATAGCATGTATATGGGTGACACTTTAATGAAATATCTTGAAACATGAACCTAAACAGGCTCTTGTTGTTGTGATCTACGTATAGCTAATTAACGTAGTCAGTTTGTGGTTAACCATAAGTACAGGTATGGGATGAGTTTAGCTAAGGTTATGACCTACTTATACTGCAAGAAGAATGCCAGACCTGTATATAATATATGGAAAAAATATATATAATCAATGTTTTTTGGTAACGCAAACTTGCATTATTAAAGGGATAACAACTCTCCGTATGGGATTTAAATTTCACAATAAATACTTTGTAAACAACTCATAGCAATATAAAAAATTCATTTTACCACCAAAACAGCAATTATTGCAAATTATTCTGGACTACGTGGACTGCTATAGATCGCTATACCTCGGTAATTAACTGTTAACATTTTGAAAAAATGGATTAAATGTAGGAATGGATTCATTAACCATTGATAAGTATGTGGAAATTGTCATTAATCACAGGAAATTTGTTTTTTTTTGCTAAAACAAACAATTGTTATTCCTTTAAAAGATTCCTTTTTTTCTCATTATTATCACATTTTAAGGACTATAATATTGAATGGAAGGAACTGTTGTGAGACCAACTAAATCAGCAGTCGATAGTTTACTTGGAAAAGAAGTGAACTTGAATTTATGAAATGAAATTAATTTTTTTGCAGGAACATCCCAGTCATCTGGTATCATTCACAATTGCAAGGACTGTGCCATTTTTAATCAGGTGAGTGGCATAAGTGGTTGGCCTTAACTGGCAGGAAAAAAATACAAACAAAACAAACAAACAAAAAACGTTTGTTTCATCGGCATTACTCTCGAATTTAACAGCTACTTGTCTATTATTTCAATTGAAATTGTGATCAATTCAAAATAAATGCGACTGCAAGCATGAACTAACTTAAGCACACTGAGTACTCTAAATTTCTGTTAAGAAAAAACAGCAAGGTCTCTCATAGGTTGTCTTAAAAACATAAGGGTATTTCTGAGTTTGAAATTCAACAGAGTGAAGGCCAGTAAATACTTATTAAAGTTAAATGTTGAGAATCCCGAGAAAATTTGTTCACTGCATTTTTGGTTTTAAAATGCCATAAACGATATATATAGTTGCCCCAGATTGAAACAAAGATTTCCATGTTTCAAGAGGCCACTTTAAAATTATATTTATATAAAGAGACCTCTTGATGGCAAAGGATTTTAATTAGTAACAAGAACAAGTGATATGAAACTTACCTGCAGTAAAACTTGGCGATATATATAAATATATAAGCATTGACATTTATAGTTGCAGTCTTTTGTCATACTTTTTGTATAGTTTATCACTCGTCATTTGTCAAATTTGAAATGTGTTGAAATTGAGATGTACAGGTACATGTAGGCCTAGCTGCTGTCCATGTAGAATGCATTCAATTTTATCTCTGTGAAAGAGACAGAGCTGCTAATTGGCCAATGTAGGTGAAAATAAAACCTTATCTTTCTTGTCAAGGGAACTTGATTTCTTACAATCTTTGTCAGGTAACCACAAAAGAATAGTCATTATCATACCTGCCTTTTAGTGTCTTTAAATATAAACAACATAGGAAGTGGAGACAATCACATAAAGTTGGCTAAATCATTTTAGTGTACCTCAAATAATTTTTTTTTTACATAGGCCTCTAATTTTTTCTAAGTAAAAAAAAAAAAAAAAAAAAAAAAATACAACTGTCATTTTAGGGCAAAGCTTTCCTCAAAATTCTGATAAGATTTTGGAACAGTATTTCTAACTGTTCAGCATGATGACTGGTTTTTGTGAAATATGAACAATTATCATAATATTTTATGAAAAAAAAGATAATTAAGAAATAAAAGAAGGCTGTCATTCATGAGAACAAAATTAAGTTAATACAACTCTGTAATACAGTTTTTTTGTGGATATCCTCTTTTTTTGTTTACACTGATTGAACTACTTCAACTGGATACCCAGCACTTGTTTGTTCAGAAAACTTGCAGCTATTTCAGATATTTCAAGTTCCTAACAGAAGGAATTTTTGGGAACTTTTAGTATGTTGGAATTACTATATATAGGATAATATGAGAAAATGCACTGTGATTAAATAAATTTGCTTAGAGTGAAACTTTATATTGCTTGGAGACTTTATAGTGCTTGGACTGAACATATTAGATACGACCTTACTGATTAAGTTTCATAAAATGTTGTATGTCACTATAGTATTATGTTACTGTACATGTATCATATATGATGCCAATATCTGGTTTCTTACAATATTCTTCCAAGGTTGGCTGAACATGGCATCCTTTCATTTTAGACTTTCAGTTGGCCTGTTGCCAGAGGACTAGAAAATGAAGACTTGGTCAGTTTGGAGCTGTACAATTTCAACAAGTACAAATCTAATAAGTAAGTATAATATGCAGTAAGTGTCTGCTGTTAGATTATATATTATAATGTATATGGTTTCAATTTGTTAGTAATTATTAAATTATCCCAAAGTACACTATAATCTATGTATTTCTATTATAATATTTAGTTTGTTGACTGAGGTACTTAATTTTTCTTTTTAGATTGGTTGGCAAGTTTGAGATGTATTTACAAGAACTGGCCGCAACTGGGAACTTGATCCTAGCAGATTATATTTTGGATCCAAACAACACTGTAACTGGGGTAGGTCAGACAATAATGTAAAATCAGTGGCAGATTTTTTTTTTGGGGGGGGGAGGTGGTCAGGAGGATCCGGACCACCCCACCCCCCTTCGGTTTCTGGAAAAAAATCACACAAATATACCCCTCTTGATATTAAAATTTTGAAAAGCTGAACCTTAGTTCTAAACTGCACCAAATAGCATGGTTTGCCCTACAAAACATGAAACCCCACACCAAGGGGAAAAGGGTCAACTTTGCATCCGAGGCCTGTCATTCTTAAAAAAACTGGACCTCCCCTTAAAATGACCCTGGATCCACCCCTGCAAAATGCCCTTATGCTATAAGTGAGGGGCATTGTGGAATGAGGTCTAGTTTAGCTAAGATATAGCAAGTCAGAGGTGAAGTATCCACGTGAAAATTATCTTAATTAGTTACAAGCAAAAATTAATTAGTACCACCAGCGTGTACACTGGCAGTACTCATGGTTTTTGTCCCGACCCATCTCGTACGGCTCTGCCGGCTCCGTTGGCTCCGCAGGGTGTCGTGGGATACAAGTCACCGTTACCACTTCTCCTCCTAGACCACAAGGAACTGTGTCCCCATCTCTTGGATTTAGGTCACATATAATCTCAACTTGAACACCCTGGTATTTTTGTCTCAGTCGATGCTTTGGCCTGGGCATGACGCTCGTTGAAACGCACCCTTGTCAAAATTTTTGAAAATTTAATGCTAAATATCTCCCAAACCAAAGGAATAACGGGAAAAAATTACTACAGAAGTCTGACCGAAAGTCATATGTGGAGATTCCAAATATGCCCTAAGATGTGACTTTCGACCTTTATTTCAAGGTCAAACGAGCCAAAATTTTCAAAAAATGGGAATTTTCTGCAAAAAATATTTGTTTGTACCAATTTTCAGAAACTACACAGACCTAAGCTCTCATATTATGGTGAGGGGTTACATCCAGGGACTCCTTTCATCTTTGAGAGTTTGGGGTCAATCGGTGCATTTTCATGGGATAAGCAGCCATTAGATACCGAAACTGAAAACTCTCTCTAATTCTGGAACCGTAAATGTCACAGACCTTTTGAATTTTGCAACTTGTAGGACTTGTCAAGCGCAATAATGGAGGTGGTGTCCACTTTTTTGTTTTCAATACGCTTAAGGCACTGCGCTATATAAAAAAGTACTATGCAATATCCAGTGGTGAAAATTAAATGTGAATAAGAAGTCATATACTGGCAATCTAACTGTGACCTTGAAATTGACCTTTGACCTACTTTTTATTATGAACTGCACTTTGCAAGTTTTCTGATCTTTATATCTCCAAAACTGGCGAAGATACAACCATAGTTACTATTGAACTTGAATAGGAAGTCATATGACTTAGACTGCATTCCCACAGATTTAAGATCGATCTATCCCTGTGGGGGGTCTCACTAGATTACTGTCAGCTTAGCCAGCTTAAACTGTCCCACCTACTAAAAGCTATATGGGGGTAATTAATTTCCGCGCTTGGCTGACAGCAATTTAGCATGAACCCCCAGGGAGTTAGGTCGATCCAGATGGATTGATCTAAATCTGTGGGAATGCAGTCTTAAATATACATGTAAGTATTTTTGTCCATAAAGTTTAGTATAATATGTTTGTCTTCAATCAGTATATGTAATACATCTGCTCTGGATATCAGCAAAAACTACAAATTATCAATGCTACTCATCAAATCTTTTACTATTGAATAATCAAGCCTCTTGTACCATTATATCTTAGAGCATCATCAGACTTGAGCTCCAGTATCACTCACCAGATGGCACTGTAGGCAACTGGGCCATTGATGAAGTCAGTGTCACAGAGTCTTTTATGACAGAACAAGATACCGATTCGGGAGGAAGGTAAACTACCAAAGAGCTACTTTGTGCATACTGGCGTGCATGTCTATACCTTTTGTGCTAAGATTTAAACTGTTTAAACTTGTGGTCTTTATTTCACAGATTGAATAAAAATTAAGCTACATGTAAATTTCCCCCCTTAAGTTTTCACTCTGATGGGATAATTTCTTTAAAGTGTTTAAAATATTATTTGTTAATTTGGCCATCTTTAGCCTGAGTGTCAGAGAAAAATGGCCATCTTCATTTTCACAAATGTGCATGCATGGGCATGTTATTTCAAGATAAACCTGGTGTGCATTGAAATTTCAACTCAAGGTAGCCCTAGGATAAAAACCAACAGGTGCAGGCCTACCCAACTACCAGACTTGGCACTGAATGATCCCAATTTTACCGGTAGAGCAGACCACACTACCCGTTTTCAAGGTGTGTGTCAGTACGCATTTCACAGTATCATACCCCGGAACAAATTTTGAGATGAGATGGTCTACTTTCCAACCCCACTGAGAATCATCACTATCACATCGCATACTAGGCAAGAGCGGTGTCGCGTCTGATACTTCAAAGTGGTACACGCTTTGAAAATGGGTATTGTGGTCCGATCTACTTGTGAGTTCAGGATCATTCGGTGCCGAGTCTGGTAGTTGGGTTGGCCTGAGATGATAACTCATTTGATATGAGGCATTAAATTACATGTTTTTGAAAAATAAACTTACTATTTGTGTTTTCAATTAATAGGAAGAAAAATGATGGAACTAGTTTTTTTGGCTCTGCCCAGCAGCTGTTTGATACAGGTATGCATTGTATTAAGTACAAATCTCTGTATAAGAATCAATTCAGCTTCTCACTGTTTTTGTAAATTTTTATAAACACAACCATATACATATAGTGTGCATAAACTTTTATGAATAATGCAGATATCCTTGGTGCCTGGACCAGTGAGGTGGAGTCAGATGATGAGGCAACAGGGGAGGTTGCTGTGGGAACAAAAAATAAGTAAGTCTGCTGCAAATGTTTCATATTAAAGGTTGAGTTGTTTGTATTGCATCTACAGATAGATTTTGCAGATAGAAGCCCTGTTTCTGTTATCTGTTTTCGACCTATGTTTATTTTAAACATTTTTGCTTTACCTATATAATATATTATATTATATTTTTTAACTTGAACCTTAAAAATTCTAAATCTGCATTTATTTTTCAGACTGAAAGTCAAGCCAATAATCGATGACCTTTGCTTAAAAGAACACAACTTTCAGGTAATTATGCAATGGTTAATTATCATGGAAAATAGTAATTTTATTTTTTACTACTTAAACCATGGAAACACTAGATCTTTACATTTGATCATTATTACCCATGCCAGTTGGTATTACATTGGTCTGTGAATGTGTCTGTCTGTTAACAAAACTTATGTTATCATTATTTATTTTTAAAATAATGACAATCTTCTGGAAGATACACCAAGATGATGACCAGAGTCTTTCTCCAGCAATAAAGTCTATATGCCTAATAATTCATTATTTTAGTATCACTGTCAAAAATTTTCTGTGACCTTTCAAGGTTTTACATTAAAATCTTTGTTCCTCTTTAACTTAAGGTGAATATCACAATCCATGAGGCCCGTGAGCTGCCAGGCCTGGATACCAATCCTATGGTGATCATTGAGGTGGGGACACAGAGGAAGTTCACAAGTGTCAGGAAATCTACCAACTGCCCTCACTTTGGGGAGGTAGGTGTAGATGAATGGAACAAAGCAAAACAAGGAAACAAATTTAAAGAAACTTGTATTTGTACTTGTATCTGTTATGATCATATATTTGATTAACTTGTGGTCATTGTTACTGATTTATCTGTCTAAATGAGTTCTGTTTGTTAAAAGATTGAGGCATTTAGGTAAAGATAAATTTGTTGTTGTAGAAATTGATAAAGCAGTTAAGGTCCTCCCCCTGTACAATTCTTTCTCACAATAATTTATGCTTTCCAGTTCTTTGCGTTTGATTTTAAACTGCCAAAGGAAGCCTTTATGGATCAAGTTATTTCTCTCATGGTGAGTTCAAATGTCACACTTTTATGGTAAGATTTAATTTGATTTAAGGCAATAAGATTACAGAGTAATTTACATTTATATCTTAATTACTTACATTTTATGTTGTAAATAATTCAACTATTTAATGAGAGGTTGTGTTTATTAATGAGCTGATAACTGAATTATGAATTTGTTGATAATAAGAACTCTTAAAGTATAATTTTGTATTTAAATTGACTTAGCAAAAAATGGGTTTTGTCATTTACCATTTAATTTAATTTGCCATTTGCCTTTTAATATATAACCTCCACCAAATGACATTTTATCTTTCCCATATACATATATTTAAATATGAATAGCTTCAAGATATGAACTTGGAAGTGTGTTTTTGGCCATTGTTTGAAAAATGAAATAAATTGTGCATGGCTTTTTGTAGAGAAATAAACTAGAGTGTCATATAGGTTGCATTAACTGCAACATGTCTATTGCCACTTGATTCTGACCTAGATTGAAACTAAAGCTTCATAGTTATAATGTTCTTGACATGTTAGCTGATGCTGTTACAATAATTAAATCTTTAATGCAACTGTCTTTTTTGCATGTTTTACTGTCTCTTCTTTGATTAAAATGTTGATATAGTCAATATATGTTAGAATTTTGCTTTATTGCTGAAATCATTATCTTAACTCTAAATTTTGAATACAAAATGTTGGCTATACTTTATGCTTGAGTTTGGCTTCATAATACTTTTATTTTTGAAATTTACATTGTGGAAGAAAAATCAGAGAGAAACTTATTTTTGACACAATAATTACAGACAAAATGCCAAAAAACTTTTGGAATTTTGCACAATCTGAAAAGTATAATTCTAATTTTTGATTGGCCATCATTGCTTATATAAGCAAAACTGCCCATGGACATGTTAAATGTGGATGTCCTCAGTGTCCTTTGAGATAAATACAGAGTATGGTGCTGTAAGCCTACAGAAATTTGTGAAAGATGGAAGTAGAGGGGGGAGGTTCTCTCTCTTCATCTCTTTTTATCAAATTTAATTGGTGATATCATTTTTTTAAATTAACTTTTTGTCATTTGAGAATGTTGTTAATAATTGTATGTTACAATTTAGTGACATTTTGTTTGCATGCTTATAAAATATTTGTAGTTTAATTGAATTCTTACATTTGTTTCTTTGTTTTCCCCATTGACCAACTGACAGGTTGTCTCCTCTCATCTGTTATCAAATGCAGGAAAGGTAATAGTGGTGAATTCAACTTTTGGTGTATGGAAAATAATCACATTATCTTTTTTCTTTTTAAAAGAAATGTGATAAATTTAATAATAGGTTGGTTTGTAGGTGACTCATCTAAGAGTGAAATTGTAATTCTTTAACGTGCTACTGTTACAGTAGGTAGCATTTATATTTTGACAGGTTAGACCTTGCATATTTCAAAAATGATATCTCACCTCATGTATGTTTATTAAAATCTATTTCTGAATATTTATTTCTTATTTTGCATAGATGATTAACCAGGCCAGTTTGCTTTCTCACTTATTTTAAATATTTTACTTTTTTGAATACTCACTGCTTTATTTTGACTACATTTGACGAGATTATACATAGTTAATAGCTGGTTATGTGCTAAATTGCCAGTCCTTTCAAGTACACCTTAAAGTTGAACCACCACCAATCACCAATGTTAGATTCTAATATTAATCACATAATCATAATTAAATATAACTTTGTATGCTGTCTGTAAATTTATGTGATAATATTATTATTTAACTGTCTAGAAGGAAATGTGTATAATCATGAAAAGAAGAAAAAAATTAAAGGTTGAAAGAACTTTAAAACTGGACTTCCGAAATTTGCAATGGTGGAATTGCATTTAGTTTTAAAGTGACTCCAATAAAAAAATGCTTCAAAAATAACTCTAAAATATGCACATGTTAATTTTTGAGCTGTGCTCAATTCCAATATACCATTAATATTTTTGTTCTCCCTCTCTCTAATCTTCTTTCTGCTTCAATCTTATTACATGTTTCTGTTGTAAAATTTCATATTGCACATATCAGTCACATTTATATCATACCATTTCACAATTTTACTCTCTGCAGTAAGAAATAAAAAACACACTGTAAAATTTTGCATGTTAAACTATACCATTTAGTGATAATGATGAACATTCTTAAATGTCATGTTTTGTCACATTTCGTTGTATGTCTAATTCATACTAGTGTATTCAAAATAATTGTTTAAAAACAAATGGTTATAACTAATATATATATATATTTCTATTCTGTACTCCGTACCTTGCGATACTCTTTATCTCTATCCTGCATTACTGTCTGTGTTTTAGTTAAAAGTGTGTATTAAAATGCCTGAAACTATATATCCTTCTGTTGTTCCTTGAACTCTGCAATACTTAACCTCATCAATCATTGCAGTGTGACATGAATGTCTATAGGAATTGTCTTAAGATATGTTTTATCGAGGTTGTATCAGTTATCATTTTGTTGTATAGCTTTTAGAATTATTACATATGGGGTAGAGAACATTGTGCTGTCTGCATGCTTATATACAGGGGTTTCAGTTTTAAGAAGGAAGCTAGCTTTTCTTTTGCTTTTATGAAATATGTGTTGTAGAAAATCTGCTTAGATAAAGGGTCATTTGTAAAAGTCAGTAGTTAATGTATGTTGCTGGTGTTGCTAGCTGGTACAGAGATTTCTTTGAAGTATCTGATTATTACATTTTATAGAAAGTGAACATATGATGCATAGCTGTGTATTATTTGTATTCTTTTGTTATCACGTATGTTTCTTTTTTTCTTATAGAAGTGTAGAAAGAAATATTGCTAGATTGATGTTTAGTAAATTATAATGGAAAATAGTTTTTTTCTGTCATGTATTATTCAGTTCAGTTAATGCATTTTGTTTCAAAGTCATGGTTATAGTTAACTGTCTTTTAAACTTTTAATTTATTATTTTTGTGGTATGTGGTTACCATTGGTTTAAGTTTACCTCCTCTTAAACCAGGTGACAGTTTTTAATAGCAGCAAAACAAGTTCATTAATTTGTTGCTCAAGCCCCTATAACATGTCTGTATTCACTAAATCATGTGTATTCTAACATATTATTTGCAGATCATTCATTCAGGGCTGCTCTCCCAGGCAGGGCAAGCAGGCCAGTTTGTGGGCAACATGCTGAATATGGGATCCATAGTTGGTGGATATAAAATAGATGTCCGTACAGTGTATGACAACACTGGTGAGCATAAACATATTTCTTTGAGCTGAGCAAGAGGTATAATTATGAGGTTTAATTACAATTAACTGTCTCAAATAGGCTTTGATCTTTTCATTATTAGCAAATGATTCTACTGAAATACTTTTTAAATGGTTGATATGTCACTTATGTTGTGACAGCAATACGCTTAATTTCCACCTGTAAAAAATTTTAGCTTCAACATGATCATGTACATTTTAATGATACACTTTGTTGGTTTTTATGGTTTATTTTATGAATTATAAAGTAAACAAAAAATTTAGTGAAGGTTCCATTTTATTTCAAGATATCATTGCACAGAATAGGACCTTTTTTTTATTGAATTTACCATTGAGATTTAAAAAGGTGCTGGAGTTAATATAAATTCAACCATACTAGCTAGTACATGTAATTTGTATTGTAGATCACCAGTTTTGTCAAAGATGGGCCCAGCTGATAGACCCAAAGGATATTAATGGTGGACTGAAGGGTTTCCTCAAAGTTGACATCACTGTGCTAAGCAAAGGGGAAGGTACTCAGGTAATGACCATGGATGGAAGACAGTTGACAACTTGTAATTTCCCTATTTTGTTCACTTATTTCATTTTGCACTCAGATTACAAAAATTGCATGCCATATCCACACACCTCACCACGAGTTAAACCCTTTCCATAATACCCAAAATATTTTCTAATTGCTTTTATTTTTACTAAATATTTTTTCAATTATCCAATCATCCATTTCATTGTTAACATGTACATGTACCAATTGTGTTGTTTGATAAATGTTGCTTTAATGTATAGTAGCTTTTTGACCATATATACTGTGGACTTAGCATAACTTATGCACTTTGAAACCAAAAAATTTGAGTTAAGCAAATTTCACCATATGTTTCTGCTAGCAAGAGAAGGTCCATTCCACAGGATTGATTTGAGATAAATGATAAGTTGAGTTATAAAGTGACACTGGTTATGCGAGTAGTCTACTATACATGTGCTTAAAAACGTTTGTTATTTTTGTAATAATATATAGATATACCTAGTTAGAGATTGATGCTGGAAAATTTAGGACTGTAATAAACCTATTGCAATCATACAGTCCTAGATTTTCCAGCATCAATTTCTAAGTAGGTATTACAAAAATAACAAAATCCAAACCTAATTCAGCATCATTCAACAGTGAGTCTCAAAGATATTGTAATTCCGTTGCTTTATCACCTTGCACATTAAAAAATAGACTCTGCATGCAACATCTGAACAAGTAACAAAAATTGTTATATAATATTAATCTGCCTAGTCTCACTCAAATATAAAATTCTTTAAGACTATTTAGATAATTTTAGCCATATAGATATTTAGAACTGAAATAATTTGGAAAAAGCAACAGAAAAGTCTACATGTTGCATACATATGGTATATCCAAATTAGAATTTGTTTTCATTTCGCCAATATTTACTATCTTACAGTTAGCCTAGGCTAAATTTGACAATTTACATCTTGGCAAATCCTGTATACAGTCCTAGTCCAAAAGCTGAACAAATTATGTGGAAAAAATGAGTAACTTGCCTTGTGTGTCTAACTTGCAGTGTGAAATCAAAGCTTGTCTAACATGACAACAAAATGATCAGAGGGTTTCTTTCACAAAAGAACTTGGGCCAAAAAGTTAGTCTAAACTCTCAGACCAAAATGTTACTGTCTACTTTGACCCAATATAAATCGGTAGTAGACTGACTAGATACAATGTTGTGTCTGTTATATAACAAGAAAGGCATGATGGCTTATGTTTTAAGCCTATACGTGGTTTCCCCGATTTTAGTGGATATATATATATATATATATATATATATATATATATATATATATATATATATATATGCAACTAAATCAAGTCAAGTAGACTAAAATTTTGGTCTTAAAGTTTACTCTTACTTTTGGTCTACATATATATATTTATAATTTTTTTTTGTGAAAATAATCCTAGGATATTGTTTTCTAATTTGCACATGTCACATTTTTTTGCACTTTTCTGACCCTTTTACCCATGTACCTACAGTATGGAAAGGACACAAAGAGAGAGGGTATGTCAGAGGAGGTGAGTATCATGGTTCTAATAATAATTTAAGGGATCTAGAGGGGAGAATATCTCCCTGCTCATTAAGAAGTATGTGGACTACAGTACAAAAGGTTTTTTTGGAAATTAAAATTGTTTGTAAGTTATCCCCCTTTGACATGAACAGTCTGTTATATATATAATGGGCTATTTGCAGAAGAAAGCTGATGGAATGAGAAGCAAGTAAGTTAGGAAAATTATAAGATACCTTATTGTTACAGTGGTGCTTGAACCTAGCTTTACATTGCTATTTAGATTATATTGATAACTGTCCTTGTGCCAGAGAAAACCCCAAAACTGAAAACTGCAGTTTTTGCCCTTAAGTAAGACACTGGACTTGAACACTATATTTATAATTGGACTTTTGGAAAGTATATGTTACTATTTATAGATAAAAAAATACAAGCTAATGCATTACTTCCGTGAGTTTATTTTATTGCATTACTTCTGTGAGTTTATTTCCCCTCTGGACACCCTTATGTTGTATAGAACTGCTTGTAAGCCACTTGTGTCCTATATGCTTTGCTTTTGCAGCATTGGCTTTGAAACCTGTTTTTTATAAGTCGGTGTTTTGTGGAGTCACTAAAATGTGTATGATATCATCCAGTATTCAAGAGGACAGATTTTGTAAATTAACAAAAACATACTTAGTTAAATTTGTATATTTATCAACATTATCCCTTTTTATGCAAGACCAAGTTGTATTTTATCTAATATTTTTCCTTGGAGACAATGGATGTTTTTTTTTTTTAATATTCAAATCGATGCAGCTGTTTTGATACAATGTTTTAACTTGCAGGAGCTGTTGTCAAAGAAGTCTGATACAGAAAACATTCAGCAGTAAGAACACATTTTTGTCTTTCAAAAAGATGAAAAGTAAGAATCTGACCTTTTAAATTAGTTTGATATTGCCCTTTAAAATTAAAAATGATTGAAAGGTTTCTTGAAGTCTTTAAAACAGAAGACATTATGAGTGTACAATCAATTAAATTACAAGCCATTATATTACATTTGATTATGTGGAATTCCTCTGTAATACCCTGAAATATTTTAGGAACCTGTTGCTCCCTAGAGGTATTCCAGAGGTTCGCCACCGTGCTTCGTACCAGGTGAGAATCTATAAGGCAGAAGACTTACCTAGGATGAAGTCTGGGTTGATGGCTAATGTGAAGAAAGCCATGACTGGAGATGACAGGCCCTCAGTTAGTCCTTATGTTCAGGTCTCATTTGCTGGACAAACAGTAAGTACTCCATATAATAATAATTTTGGTTGTGATATGTCATGTTTGCTTACTTGTCTTAAATAGTGTACTTAATTTAATTAAAAAGATCAATTTATCATTTTTACCTGGGATTTAGTTTGAAAATAAGTTTGTGAATGAAAAAAAAAAAAGAAAAGAAAAAACACCTTATTAAACAATTTCAGTTGATGTTTAAAAAATGATTTAGAAAAAGGGAATTCCATTTTTTTTTCATATTTTATAAATTTTTGTTTCATGTATTTGTGTTTGTTGACATGCTTGTGCCATTGTTAAATCAGTTCAGTCGGCATCTTGCAATGTACCTGGCCAGCATCATGACAACTTTACAACCACATGTTTTCATCATCTAACATAAAACTCTTCAGCAGCAAAATGCCATCACCATGCAACCATAACCTTAAAGTTTAAACACATTAAATTTAACAGGGCCGTACTTCTGCAGACAAGTCTACCTATGACCCTGCTTGGAATGAGCAGGTGGTGTTCACGGATCTGTTCCCCCCTCTCTGCCAGAGGATTAAGGTTCAGCTGCGGGATGATGACATGGTCCTGGACTCTGTGATAGGGACACACTATGTTAATATGAACCATATATCAAGCAGGGGAGCCAAAGGTAGGATAGGAGTTGAAGACCAGGTTGCATTTTTTTTGCAACTTACAGTACATATAAGGAATTTTTTTAACTTAAGTGTCAACTCGTATATAGTGGAAATATCCCCAGACATGAAACCATGCATAGTTTTAGTTTGGTATAACATATTCATGTTTTCTAACTTATGAAACTCTTATGAGCAGTTGGTGGTACTTTGTGGTAATTCAAATGGCCAGAAATTTTGATTTTTGGGCTTTGTAAGGAGTGATTTTTGTGACCAAAAGTTGATATATTTTTCTTCTTATTTATAATATAAGCTTGATTGGTCATTAAGGTCATAGTTTAACTTTTTAAGTTCATCAAACTTATCTATCCACAGGGTTCATGCACACATTTGGTCCATGCTGGGTCAATCTGTATGGCTCTCCCAGGGGTTACATGCTCACTGACAGCCATGACTACTTGAATGATGGGATAGGTGAAGGTGTTGCCTATAGGGGGCGCCTGCTTATTGCAGTGAAAGTTGAAATCCTAGGAAATTCGGAGTCCAGTCCATTGCAAGTGACACGTGAAGCTACAATGCCAATTTCTGAGGTAAGTTTTATGCTTACCAATAACTGTTAAACAATGTATGATATGGTATGTAGTTGGGATAAATTAATCTAAGAATAATTTGTGAATTTAATGGGGGGTTAGTGTATATAAAAACTATTAAGTTTTGCTGTTATGTGCTTCTGTAGTTTATTATTACATATAGTAACAGGTTTTAAAGGTCAGATCAGATGAAATAAGAAATTTTGGAAAATGAACTTACTTCATCCTCATCAATCCTCCCATCTTATTTTTCAGAATGCAGCAGGTGTTAAAATGGAATACTTTCTCTGGGGTACTATTTTGGAAGCAACAATGATTGATAAGAAGTTTGCAGACAAGTTTGTTTCATTTGAACTAAGTATGGGTAAGTCAGGGTCTCACAAAACTTAAATCATTATATTTATTACTTGTTTAATTATTTTTGAAATAGTTAATTTTAAGAATTATTACCTTTGAAAAACTTGTGTAAAAAGATTGATTTATATTACTTATTGTATTTATTGATTGTAATTCACAATGACTGCTGTATTTATTGAACAGGTAACTATGGCAATTCCATAGATGGAAAACATTTCTACAGACACACATCTCTGGATGAACACGCACAAGAAGAACCTCAACAGGAGACTGAGGAAATGGTGCTCAACCAGACACCACCAATGAAACCCCATAGTAGAGGGAAAAATTACTACCACATACCCTTTCATGAGAAAAAGCCGTGTTTGTATGCTAAAACCAGATTTGAAGACCAGCGACAGAGGTTACAGCGCACTAATGTTCTGAATGCAATGGTGGAATCTCTAGTGAGGAAATTATTATATTTAAGATGGATTTTATATTATTTACGTATTAGATTTTTCATGGTTCTAAAATAATTTGTCTATCTAGTGATATTTTTTGTGATAGTAATCACTTACTTTGGAACAAAATATTTATAAAAAAGTTATGTTTCAGCATGAAAACGGCGTCATGATGCTCCTGTCATAAGAGCAGCAGTGATTGATATTTATTTATTTAATTATGCAGAATACTGATTAAACACAAATCTATTAGAAATAAACATTATTTTTTACCCTTATTTTCTTTCACTTTGATTGTATTTCTTTTTCTTTTATTGTAATTACTTTAGGAAGATGAACTGAAAGAGGTTCAACATCTTCTGGACCATGAAGAACCAGGGGGCAAACGCATGCGCCGTGCTCTGAGTCATTTTGCTAACAGCTGTAGCCAGTTTTGTAACTCTATCCATGGACAGGCAGCAAGAGCAACATCGGGAAAAACCAAATTAGACAAGGAAAGACTGAAAATGCTGGAAAGAAAGATTGTATGTGATACTTGAATAATGCTTTAGTTACTTAATTTTTGTAATTTATTGATGTTTAAAAAATATTGCCTTTTATTTTCATTGTTGTAATTACTGTGTATATTCTCATCTGTTCAAGATATCTCAATTGCTCCCTGATTTTTAAGAATCAGTTAAGTAATAGAATGATGATAATTGCTGTTGTGATTTAGAGTAAATTTGGAACAGAGGCAAGGCAACTCAAGGCAGGTATCAAATCAGTTGAAGACACTGAAAAAGTTTTAGAAGCTATGAAGAAATCCAAACAGATGTTGAAGAAAGTCAAGGACATTTCAGAAGAGGTATGTAATGTTGTTTTAAGGGTCAGCTTATTATATTTACCAATCATTTTGAATTAACCTATGACATGCCCCTGATTTTAAGTGTCACATCTTTGATGATAAATGTTCTACTTTTTTGTAGGCTTGTTTTCTATATACATACGTAGTTATAAAACACAAATGTATAACCCAGTGGATATTACAACCTTATGAAAAAAATCTAAAGTTACCAAATATTTTGAAACATGATTAAATCGGTGGCATTACTGCTACATTTTATTTGTATTGAACAGTTTATTTTGTTTATTACAATCTTCCAGCCACAGCATAGCATTCCTGATGTGTTTATTTGGATGATCGTAGACAAAAAACGTATAGCCTACTGCAGAATAGATTCTAAAACAATCCTACACTCTACTGCAGAAGAGGAGATGGGCAGATACTGTGGGAAAGTTCATACTAGATTTCTTAGGGTGAGTTTCATTGTAGACCCTGGCGGTACACATGATTTTAGTCTCGACCCGTCTTGTTTTTTTATTTTCCATATGAATGCGCTTACTCCAGCTGGTGGAACAATACCCGGAGGCGGCGTTGCCTCTCTGATCCTCTAGTTAAAATATGGTCCCTTACTCGATTAAAAGTTTTGTGAGATGTTTAAAACAGATTTGTTTCTTGAAACATCTACTTTGTGACCTTTTTCAAGCGTAATTTGTAAATACTTTTCAGCTTAAGGTCTCTATTATATGTTGTTGTTTGGCATTCTTGCAAAGGATGCCAGATTGAACTTTGATATTTAAGATATCATCTTTAAATATTTTACTTTGCAACATTTGCTAAATTTTGGTATAATATTTCTTTATTTATGCATTTTTTTAAAAAATGCTTTTCATATCTCCCTTATCCCTTGTAAGCCAAGATCCCATCATAAAAAAGACATTCACTATGTATAAGTGGGCTGATACTTAGCCAGTGTCACATTTTCTTATGCCAAGTTTAAAATGAATATATTTAGCACTTGAAAATACTGACAATGGTATCAACAGAGTAATCATGCAGGATAGTTGATTTCAATAAAAAATATTCTGTGGCGTAGATTATATGATAATAAATAAACAAAATTTTAAAAATAATAAAAAGGTCTTTCTCTTTAGTTACCAGGAAAGAAGGCAATGGGGAGCTCAGGCTGGACCATCCAGGCCAAATTGGAAGTATACCTGTGGCTTGGAAGTATGAAGAACATCAAGGCAGCTCTGTCTGGGCTCCACAGTGGCTACAACTCTTCACCTGAACTTAAGCACTTTGGGGAAAAGACCCATGCTCTTCCAACACAAATAGTTTATGCAGGTAATAGATATATGGTGTTGTTAAAGGGTAATTTATGGTGATGTAAGTAAAAAGGTTTGTTTTGGTATTTTAAAGAACTTGCTGAATGATTTTTATAGAGTTGGCAAAATGGTGTATGTTTGAATTAAGCAACATTTAGGATATCATACAGTATTTTTAAGAGAATGGCAGCTGACGGAGTTTTTAACGGATTGAGTATAACATTTCATATCACAAATGTTACTTAATCATTTATACACATCTCATTTATCATTATTGTAATTTCAGAAAAATCCCATTTCCAGCTCAGGGCACATGTTTATGGTGCCCGCGGTTTAGTAGGGTCAGATGAGTCTGGCCTGTCTGATCCCTTTGCCCATGTGGTGTGTGGTGATGGGTTTGCCACCACTCAGGTCATCCCCACCACGCTGACCCCACTGTGGGATGAGACCCTGGTCCTGGAGAAGCTGTGTATCTATGGGGACATAGAGGAGGTGGCCAGAGAACCACCTCTGGTGCTCATTGAGGTGTTTGATGAGGACAGAGTGGTGAGTCAAATTATTTTGCATTTTTTTTACATTTTTGAAAATATGATTTATATGATTTTCCTTTTCTTGTTGCTTCTGAGAAAAAAAGAATTTGATAGTGGTTTAAAATTACATAGCAACTAATTTGCTAGAGAAAAGAATAGATATAATATTTGTGGTATATAAAATGATATATACTGACACAAAACTGGACATCTATACTTGTCGTTTTTTTTTTCAGGGCTCTGCAGAGTTTCTAGGGCGTACCTTGGCCAAACCCAAAGTAAAAGTGGAAGATGAAGGATACATAGAACCAAAGTTTCCTGCTCTCTTAGATTGGTATGACATCTATAGAGGACCAATGCAGTGTGGAGAAATTTTAGCTTCATTTGAATTGTTTCAGGTGAGTAAGACACATTAATAAAGCTGGGTGCAATGTATTTGAATTATTAGAAATGTTCTCTGACTTGTATAGTATTTTACATCTCCCAGGAGAAGATCCAGAGATATTTTCTGACAGTATTCCAAATTATCTTTGTTGATCCATCCTCCATTTTTGATGGTCTCCCAACAGAAGAATATAATCATCAATGTAAACTTTAAAATCTGACCATCTTCCGGAAGACCCAGAAGACGGTCTCAATCTGCCCCTGTCTCCATCCCTAGTAATTGAAGCATAGAAATTAAAGACAAGCACTGTATATAAATAGACTGGTATTTTATTGATTGTCAGATAAATGAGGATGACAAAGACTTTGATGATCTTCCAAAACTCGGTGAGAAAGTGGTCGTAAAAAAGAATGTGAAGAAAAAACCCAAAGGTAAAGACAAAAGCCAGGCAGTTGTAGAAGACATTGTGATACACAGGGTGCCCAAGGAAATCAGACCAACTCTAAGCAAATACAGGATTGAGGTGAGTTGAAGCTCCTTCTTTTAATCTTATATATGTAATACAGTAAAAGATTATACAATCTGCATTAAAGATGAATTTTTTTATATTTTGAAAGGCCTAAAAAGTGTATTTTTACATCTGAGTATTATATGTATCAAACATATTTGTGTCCATACCCAGTGTATTATGAATATGCTGACCTATGTATGTAGGTGTTATTCTGGGGATTACGGGAGTTGAAGAGGTTGATGCTGCTAAGTGTAGACAAGCCCAGGTTGGACATAGAAATTGGCAAGACCATCATCTCAAGTGATGTCATCATGGAGGCCAGCAAAAACCCAAACTTTCCTAACATGGTGAAATATGATGAAGTGGTAAGTTTTTTCCCCCTTAGTTTCACAGTGTTATCTATTGTGGAATTAGGATATTTCATTTCGGGATATTGCCCTATTCAAAAAGAAAGTGACTGAACTTATGCTTTGTGAAATTAAACATGAGTATAGAGATACAACAGCTAGATAATTGGATATTGTAAAAAATTGTAAATTATTCAGTAAATTGTATATTTTAGAAAGATAAGATAATGCATAAAAAAATTGATGGTATACATCAGTTTACTTATTTCTTGGAGGTGATTTGAAATTAAAAAATTTAAAACAACAAGTTCAGTGATACACACTGTTTTGTATCACTAAATTGCCAACAAGCAACACAATTATGTATTTGAAGCTAACGCACAATAATTTTGTTCCAGATGTTGCCGGACAATGACCATTACTGCCCACCTATAACTATCCGTTGTGTGGACTGCCGTAGCTTTGGCCGATTTGAGCTAGTTGGCATCCATGTCATCAGTGCCATACATAAATACAGGATCAAGGCCGACCAACAGACTGACTGTTCCAAGGACACTGTCAGCCTGGTTTCTGTACCTAATGGTAAATGTAGTGTTTTTTTCTCAACAAAGCGTGATTAATGAATTGTTTCCTTGCTCATGTACATGTAGTGATATTGTGTTAAACTTTTGCCTCAGTAAGCAACAGAAAAAAAGTGTGATGAACATTAGTCAAGGCCAAGGTTAATCCTTGTATTCTTGTTACCATTATTTAGGAACTGTCACCAATGGAAGTGTTGTAGGGGTTCCTGAAGTAGATTTTGTCACCCCTGGTAAACTTCATGGGGAGAAGAATGGACTCACAGCAGGAAAAGATCGCAGAAAATCTAAAGGATCTATTATGGCAGTTGATGAAGTGGCCATAGAGATAGATGAAAAAGCTCCATTGTTACCAAACAAAACTGAGGTACACATAGACAGGTGTACAGTCATAATAATCTTAGTGGTCCGATTTGTTTGTCAACTTTTTGTAAATATATGCCAACTCATTGTATCTTTTATTACTGTTTCCAGTTTTCAGAGATTTAAAATTAAACATATCATGATCGCTGAATCTTGAATAGCCTATCATACATGATATCCTAATTAACATAANCTTACTCCAGCTGGTGGAACAATACCTGGAGGCCTCTCTGATCCTCTAGTTAAAATATGGTCCCTTACTCAATTAAAAGTTTCATGAGACATTTAAAACTGACTTGTTTCTTGAAACGTGTACATTTGTAACTTTTTTCAAGCGTAATTTGTAAATTCATATAATACTTTTATCATTCAGCTTAACACCTCTATTATGTTGTTGTCTGGCATTCTTCTTGCAAAGGATGCTAGATTGAACTTTGGTATTTAAGATATCATCTTTAAATATTTTACTTTGCAACATTTGCTAAATTTCTGTATAATATTTCTTTAATTATGCATTTTTTTTTTAAATTTCAAATGCTTTTCATATCTCCCTTAATTACCCCTAGTAAGCCAAGACCCCATCATAAAAAAGACATGCACTATATATAGGTGGGCTGATACTTAGCCAGTGTCACATTTTCTTATGCCAACTTCAAAATGAATATTTTATAGCACTTGAAAATATTGACAATGGTATCAACAGGGTAATCATGCAGGATAGTTGATTTCGTTAAAAATATTCTGTGGCCTAGATTATATGATAATCAATTTATAATAAATTTTTTTCAAGTTGCAAAAAATAAATAAATAAATAAAAATAAAAATAAATTAATAAAATAAAATTAAAAAAAAATAATAAAATAAAATAAATAAACAAAAATTTAAAAAATAACAAAAAAGTCTGTCTCTTTAGTTACCAGGAAAGAAGGCAATGGGGAGCTCAGGCTGGACTATCCAGGCCAAATTGGAAGTATACCTGTGGCTTGGAAGTATGAAGAACATCAAGGCAGCTCTGTCTGGGCTCCACAGTGGCTACAACTCTTCACCTGAACTTAAGCACTTTGGGGAAAAGACCCATGCTCTGCCAACACAAATAGTTTACGCAGGTAATAAATATATATGGTGTTGTTAAAGGGTAATCTATGGTGGTGTAAGTACTGTAAAAAGGTCTGTTTCTGGTATTTTAAAGAACTTACTGAATGATTTTTATAGAGTTGGCAAAATGGTGTATGCTTGAAGCACCGTTTAGAATCAATACATTATTTTAAAGAGCATGGCAGATGGAGTTTTTAATGGACTAAGTATAACATATCATATCACAAATGATGCATTCGGAATATCAAAATATGTTACTTAATCATTTATACATATCTCATTTATCATTATTGTAATTTCAGAAAAATCACATTTCCAGCTCAGGGCACATGTGTATGGTGCCCGCGGTTTAGTAGGGTCAGATGAGTCTGGCCTGTCTGATCCCTTTGCCCATGTGGTGTGCGGTGATGGGTTTGCTACTACTCAGGTCATCCCCACCACGCTGACCCCACTGTGGGATGAGACCCTGGTCCTGGAGAAGCTGTGTATCTATGGGGACATAGAGGAGGTGGCCAGAGAACCACCTCTGGTGCTCATTGAGGTGTTTGATGAGGACAGAGTGGTGAGCCAAATTATTTTTTTAACATTTTTTAAAATTTGATTCATATAATTTTCCTTTTCTTGTTGCTTCTGAGAAAAAAAGAATTTGATAGTGGTTTAAAATTACATAGCAACTAATTAGCTAGAGAAAAGAATAGATATAACATATTTGTGGTATATATAAAATGATATATACTGACACAAAACTGGACATTTATACTTGTCGTTTTTTTCAGGGCTCTGCAGAGTTTTTAGGGCGTACCTTGGCCAAACCCAAAGTAAAAGTGGAAGATGAAGGATACATAGAACCAAAGTTTCCTGCTCTCTTAGATTGGTATGACATCTATAGAGGGCCAATGCAGTGTGGAGAAATTTTAGCTTCATTTGAATTGTTTCAGGTGAGTAAGACACATTAATAAAGCTGGGTGCAATGTATTTGAATTATTAGAAATGTTCTCTGACTTGTATAGTATTTTACATCTCCCAGGAGAAGATCCAGAGATATTTTCTGACAGTATTCCAAATTATCTTTGTTGATCCATCCTCCATTTTTGATGGTCTCCTAACAGAAGAAAATAGATACCCGTCAATGTAAACTTTAAAATCTGACCATCTTCCGGAAGACCCAGAAGACGGTCTCAATCTGCCCCTGTCTCCATCCCTAGTAATTGAAGCATAGAAATTAAAGACAAGCACTGTATATAAATAGACTGGTATTTAATTGATTGTCAGATAAATGAGGATGACAAAGACTTCGATGATCTTCCAAAACTCGGTGAGAAAGTGGTCGTAAAAAAGAATGTGAAGAAAAAACCCAAAGGTAAAGACAAAAGCCAGGCAGTTGTAGAAGACATTGTGATACACAGGGTGCCCAAGGAAATCAGACCATCTCTAAGCAAATACAGGATTGAGGTGAGTTGAAGCTGCATCCTTTAATCTTATATATGTAATACAGTAAAAGATTATACAATCTGCATTAGAGATGAATTTTTTTAAAACGAATGGGGGGGGGGGGGGTATATTTTGAAAGGTCTTAAAAGTGTATTTTTACATCTGAGTATTATATGTATCAAACATATTTGTGTCCATACCCAGTGTATTATGAATATGCCGACCTACATGTATTTATGTAGGTGTTATTCTGGGGATTACGGGAGTTGAAGAGGTTGATGCTGCTAAGTGTAGACAAGCCCAGGGTGGACATAGAAATTGGCAAGACCATCATCTCAAGTGATGTCATCATGGAGGCCAGCAAAAACCCAAACTTTCCTAACATGGTGAAATATGATGAAGTGGTAAGTTTTTTCTTAGTTTCACAGTGTTACCTATTGTGGAATTAGTATATATATCATTTTGGGACATTAATTGCCCTATTGCCAAAGAAAATTACTGAACTTATGCTTTGTGAAATCAAACATGAGTATAGGGATATAACGGTAATTGGATATTGTAAAAAAAATGTAAATTGTGTAGTAAATTGTATATTTTAGAAAGATAAGATAATAATATGCATGATGATAAAAGATTTTGATTGTATAGGGGTCTACATCAGTTTACTTATGCCTTGGAGCTGATTTGAAATTAAAAATTTTAAAACAACAAGTTCAGTGATACAAACTATTTTGTATCACTAAATTGCCAACAAGCAACACAATCAATGTATTTGGAGCTAACATACAATAATTTTTTTCCAGATGTTGCCGGACAATGACCATTACTGCCCACCTATAACTATCCGTTGTGTGGACTGTCGTAGCTTTGGCCGATTTGAGCTAGTTGGCATCCATGTCATCAGTGCCATACATAAATACAGGATCAAGGCCGACCAACAGACTGACTATTCCAAGGACACTGTCAGCCTGGTTTCTGTACCTAATGGTAAATGTAGTGTTTTTTTTTCAACAAAGCCTGATTAATGAATTGCTTCCTTGCTCATGTAGTGATATTGTGTTAAACTTTTGCCTCAGTAAGCAACAGAAAAAAGTATGAAGAACATTAGTCTAGGCCAAGGTTTATTCTTGTATTCTTGTTAACTTTCTTTAGGAACTGTCACCAATGGAAGTGTTGTAGGGGTTCCTGAGGTTGATTTTGTCACCCCTGGTAAACTTCATGGGGAGAAGAATGGACTCACAGTAGGAAAAGATCGCAGAAAATCTAAAGGATCTATTTTGGCAGTTGATGAAGTGGCCATAGAGATAGATGAAAAAGCTCCATTGTTACCAAACAAAACTGAGGTACACATAGACAGGTGTACAGTCATAATAATCTTAGTGGTCCGATTTGTTTGTCAACTTTTTGTAAATATATGCCAACTCATTGTATCTTTTATTACTGTTTCCAGTTTTCAGAGATTTAAAATTAAACATATCATGATCGCTGAATCTTGAATAGCCTATCATACATGATATCCTAATTAACATATATTTGACACATGATTAAAATACTTCTAAAATACTTCTTTAGGCCTTGACTGAAGAGGAAGAGGAAGCACTAGACTGGTGGACAAGATTTCATGCTTCTTGGGAAACTTTTGAGAAGCTGGTAAGTTTTTTAAATACTCATATACTATAGTACTGTTTCAAGTATTTTCAGTGGTTAAATGGTAATTAACATGGAATTAATGTTGCACATGTGTACACCAACAGCATTCTTTTAGATGTGAGGGGTTTTTGATGATTATTTTATATGTTTATCTAGGAATCTGAAAGAAAAGAACAAGAAAGAAAGGAACTTGGACTGGATAAAGAAGATGAAATGGGATTTGGAAAAATTGAGATTCCAAAAGGTATTATCGCAAAATTATCTGTTCGCGTAATGTACTCCACTTTTAAAGCATGTTTGTGTAACCAGTGACTCTAGTTAGCAAGACACATGAAAAAAGATGTTTCAAAGTTATTTTATGATTTATTTATACAGCTCCCAGATATTTCAAATAACTTTGTTCATATAATTTCAGATGATGAAGAAGACAAAAAGAAAAAAAAGAAAAAAGTCGGCTTTTTTAAAAGAATGAAAAATTTCAAGAAATCTACTTCAAGCAAAATAAACAAAATCAAGGTAATTGGGCAGTTTTCTCAAATTGGTAACAAGGCTTTTCAAATGTATGATTTAAACCAAATTAAGGTAGACAGTAATATTTGGTTGTGGGCATGTTTTTTTTTTTTTTTTTTTGTGGGATAAACAATTTCTATATTTGTTTTTATGCGAGGGTTATGCAGTATGTTTCCCAGCTTATGATCTTTTCAATTGACAATTTCTTGAATATGTTAAGTATTTATTTTTATAAGGGTGCGACCAACCAAGCATTTGATGATTTGGATGATTTTTTTGATGAACCAGAGGATGACAAAGCCAATATTCCACAGTTTACAGTAAGTAGGCCAGTTTTACGTTTGTGGATATGTACTTTTAAAAATCAGAACTACCCCTTTTACTTGGCATTGAAATTGTATGTTTGCAAGAACATACAAAAAGCAATGTCTTGCTACTGAAATATAAATCAAACCTTTTTTCATTAAATGTTAAACAACGTCAGTACCTTTTGGGTAAATATAGTATCATTAAAGGTGCTTTAACAGAGTTGGATGTACTTATTGAATTTAGCAGAATTTCAGTACATAGACTTAATGTAATGGTTTAAGATAATCATTGTTTTTAGGTGTACAATGGCAAACTTGAAGATCAGCCAGAGTTTGAGAAGTTTCAGGACCTTTTGCATTCCTTCACATTGAAGAGAGGCAAAAAGACTGATGATGAAGAGGATGATGACCATAGAATAGCAGGGATATTTAAGGTAAGGACTTATTTTTATTTATTTATTTATTTATAATTTTATTTTTTTCTTTTTTTTTTTTGAGGGAGATGGGTAGAGATTTATTTCTCAATATATTCAAATGAGTGTAACACATTGGACAGGGCTGTTTGTAATAAAAAAGGATGATCGTGCTTTGTGGAACACTGTATATGTTTCTGATGAATTAACATTACTCTTGTATAGAAACTCAGCATTTCCTACTTAAGAATATCACCAAGGTCTAAACATATGGGGATTTGGAAAAGGTATGTGGCAAAGAAAAGTTTTGCTTAATAGTAAAACCTTAAGTTTATTTTTAAATTTGTAGAGACTTTGATCATGTAGATAATTATTTATGCTCATGCAACATTTTTTCAGGGTTGCTTTAGAATCTATAAACTAGACAAAGAGGAAGAAGCATTAAGATCTCTGGGACTCAAAAGTTTGCATCCAAAATTGGGAACTTTTCAAGGAGTACCAAAGAATGACATGATAGGAGCATGGGTGAGAGTGTATGTGATACAGGTGAGCCATTTTGGGTAAAGTGGGTATAAATCTAAGGAAAGGTGTAACATATACATTTATATCAAGTAGAAAAAAAAAGAAAAATATAAAAAATTAGGAACATAGTGGTTCTTATGACTCACTACAAAGATTGTGTTTAGACTAATTTAAACCAGTATCATCTTTACAAATTGGAGTTTTACAAGTTTCATACACCCACACATACACAACAGATTAAATGTTCCTGCATGAGGCTTTTTAACTTAGTAAAATAACAGGCAGACTTCCTTTGCAGGCCACGGATCTTCACCCAGCAGATGTCAATGGTAAAGCAGACCCCTATGTTGTACTTAAACTGGGGAAGACAGTCATTGATGACAAGGAGCAGAAAATAAATTGCACACTTAACCCTGTATTTGGAAAGTAAGACTGGGTTCCCATCTCTAGTTTGATTTAACAGGAACGGCCCATCTCCATGGGGTCTCTTGTTAAATTGCTTTCATCTACCGGTAGCTCAAGTAGCTTAGATCGCATTCACAATGAGTTGAGCCATGGCTTTACAAATCCTGGAACTAATATNCAATGGAGCTGAGATTTAATGACTGTACCCCCGCAGGGATGACGCATGGGGAGGCGTGTGAGAGGCGGAGAGACTATTAATAGTTTAGGCGGTTTTTCTTTCATGTACGTCCGCCATATTTAGTTCCAGGATTTGTAAAGCCATGGCTCAACTCGTTGTGAATGTGATCTTAGATGTCTGGTACACCTACTTAAGCTGCTTAACAATAGTTAATTACTCTCTGGTTCCTCATTGCCATATATGTACAGGTATTTATTTGGAAAAAAAATTCCACACTGTATGGCCTTATTCAAGACTGTACGCTTATTAAAAGTCGGAGTTACCCCAGATCTCTTCATGCACCACATACGTATATTGATCCATTTTAACACTCAATTAGTGAGATCCATTATGCTGATGCCCTGTGTTTACTCTAGATTGTGACAGCAGTGCATTTCAGGACATACAAATATACGCAATCACATCCAGTCACAATCACATCACATTATAGATTTTTGGTTCTTTATTGGTCAAATTTCCACCCTGTATGTTTATTTGGGACCGTACTATTATTAGATTTTTGGCATTTTTCCACCCTGTACTACTATTCAAAACCGTATGGCAATTAGGAACCAGAAAGTACCCCCTATCAGCTTCAGTAGACGTGACAGACATCTAAGCCGCACAAGTTAATTGCAATTAACCGCAAATCCCCTTGGAGATAGATCGGTCCAAAGTTTAATTATTACAATAGTCTCTGGGAATGGTCTCGAAGTCTGTTAATTTTAAAGTATAATTTCCTTTAGTGTATGTAACTTTTGTCACAAAATGAATGTGACATTATTTGAGTGGTTTTTCTGATTAATTAATTATAATGTTGATAGGCTTATTGACATGCGCAAATTATTGAAAATAATATTCTTACAGTAACTGTCATTATGTTGCACATGATATGAATATTCACAATTTATTTTTGATAAAATACTTTAAAATATATTTTGCCAAAAAAGGAGAATTAATTAAATAATAATAATATCTAGACTGTTTGAAACATAAATGTAGTTGATGAAACGTTGGAGCCACTTACTGAGTGACTCTATTTCTCTGTTCTAGATGTTACAGCTTTGATGCTGAATTCCCATTGTCCACTGTGCTGACCATCCAGATCTATGACTGGGACCAAGTGGGCATGGATGATCTGATAGGACAAACACAGATAGACCTGGAGGACAGGTTTTATAGTAAACACAGGGGGACATGTGGTTTAGCAAGAACATATGAGAGGTAAAGAGGAAGTTGGCTTTGTTAAGGATTGTGCATTACATCTAATAAGAACATTTTTGTTTAATATATATTTATGTTGCAATATTTCTCTGTACGTACATTAGTTGACTTTAAATTGTACACTGAAAAGAAAAACTATTATTATTATTATTATTCTTATGCGATGATGATGATGATGATTTATATAACCAAAGTTTTCCTAAAATGGGGAGAAATTTTGAGATTATGTTAACAGCTAATACATGGTTTGCAAATCTATTCTAGCCATGGTTTTAACCAGTGGAGAGACACCCAAAAACCTTCTCAGATTCTCCAGGGCCTGTGTCAGACTGCTGGTATAGAGCAACCTGTGTATGATAAAGTAAGAGGAAGTGTGAAGATTGCTGGCAGAACATATAATGCACCAACGGATATCATGGATGAAGGAGGTGAGCAGAGAGAATTGAAAATGTGATATTATTTTTAATTTTTGCAAATGCAGAGACCAGGGGATGCACTGTTTTCTCAGAAGTTTTTGTTACTAGTAAATTTTACACCACTAGGAATTTTTATGTAAGTTGGTACAGAGTAAAACACCTTTGAGAAGAGGTTGAAATGAATTGAATCAAGTCACCCCAAATGCGGGTTGTCTAATGCCACTCCCCTAGGCAGGATTTATCAACAAAATTTATCCAAGAGCAATTACAGATGAGGCCTTCCTGGAGGTATAGCTACAAATTTGCCATGTTACCTCGTGGGAAAACGGACACGCATGCTTTGTCCAAAAGATCAATTCCAAAGAAGGATAAACTTAATAAAAGCTTGGTGCTGCCTTTCAATTAAAAAAGGATTTTTAAAAAACTATTTGTAAAACTATTGGATGTAGACCCATCACTTATGAAATGACAATGTACTGAAGCCAGATAGGCATGTGGATCATTTTTCCCTTTTTTTCTCTATTTGAGGTGTTGTATCAAAGACAGAAGAGCACATGGCATTGGAGGTACTTAATCACTGGCAGGACATCCAGCCCACTGGCTGTTACTTAATGCCAGAACATGTGGAAATAAGACAGCTGGAATTGCCCGACAAGAAGGGAATTGAACAGGTTGGTTTACCTAGCAGCTTGGCTCTAGTCATGAATATATTCTTGCATCATGTGTGACAAAACACAAATCTGTTTTTTGAATGGTTTTTTGTTGTTTTTGTTTAATCACTCATATAATTGTCTAATTTCATATCCTTCACCAGTTAGCTTTTAAGGCTTATTATAATTTGATTATGAATACAAATGTGAGATTAAAGTTTGTTATTTCTCTTTCAGGGCAAACTTCATATGTGGATAGACATGTTTCCAATGAGTCTCCCTCCCCCAGCTCCACATGTAGACATCACTCCTAGAAAACCAAAGAGGTAAATTTGAAATCAGATAACGCTATGGTTTTTAAAGCTGTCAGGCTGTCATTAGCGTTTTTCTTTGTACATTGTAGTTGTTATAATCCCAATGTATTTCTTGTTATCTACTAATTGTAACATATTGATATTTTATGTTTGCAATTCTTTCAAAATGGAGTGTTTTATTATTTTAGCTATGAGCTTCGTGTGATTGTGTGGAACACAGATGAAGTAGTTTTAGAGGACACTGCAGCACTAACTGGTGAAAAGATGAGTGACATATATGTCCGTGGCTGGTTGACTGGTCCAGAGGATTCACAGTCCACAGATGTACACTACAGGTAGTCAACTTATATTCTATAACATATAGACTGTCATTGACCTTTGTGAATTCAGCATTTCTATTTCAGTTTTTTGATATAGCAAAAATGTAGGTTTGCTGCATACATAAATATAAGCACTGCAGTATGTTTGGCTTTTATGAAATACCTTATGATTGTATGAAATAAAAAGCATTGTCTTATTATTATCTGATGAAGATTTGCAGCCATTTAACTATATCATTGTTGTTTTAAAATTCCAAGGTCTTTGACAGGAGAAGGGAACTTCAACTGGAGATTCGTTTTTCCATTTGATTACATGATAGCAGATGAAAAAATTGTTGTGAAAAAGAAAGAATTTTTATGGGACAATGCAGAGACAGAGGTCAAGCTTCCTGCCAGGTTAGAGTTGCAGGTGTGGGATGCAGATTTAGTCAGCAGGGATGATTGTCTTGGTGAGTCCAGTTCTGATAAGATTTCTTTGTTTGACATTGGTGATATTAAATTGTTTTTGTTAATATGAAATTGACAAAATGAAAAAAAATTACATAAACTTAACATAAAAAAAGTGTAATCGTTATGTAGAATGTAGCAGTATAAAAAGTCTTCCAAGAGAAAACAATTCAAGGTAAATGAAATGGAATGTATTGAAGTTAAATTAAGGTATTTTTTTAAGTGAAATGTTGTAATTGCACATTTTTAAAGACTTTTTAATAAACCATTTTGAACATGATTGATTTTAGGTCAGTTAACCTTGGACTTGAATCGCATTCCAATGGGTTCCAAGCAAGCCAAGGCATTGGATGAAAATGTGATGATGGACATCATGAAAGGCAAGAGGCGAACTGTCAGCTTACTGAAACAAACAAAGATGAGGGGATGGTGGCCTTTCACTGTGAAAGCTGCAGAGAATGAGGAGCAGGAATTTGAAATGACTGTGAGTGTGTGCATCTTTTTTGATGTGCTGTGTCAGTCACAATATATCAATGTTATAAAAAAAAGACGTCACAACATACTTAACAAAGGTGATTTTCTAAGTGGTTTTATGGTAAGATGAAAATTTGTTTGATCCCCACCATTTAATTTATACCTTGCACTTTCCCTGTGGTTATTGTGATTTTTTTGTTAATTCAATAACACAAACTGCACTGTTGACTGTTAAACAAATATAATCATAGATAGCAAAGAAAGGCTATATATGGTAGAAATCTGATTGTTGATTGAACATTTTCACATCAGGGCAAAGCTGAGCTGGAGATTCAGTTACTCACAGCAGAAGAGGCAGAAAAGAGCCCCGCAGGACTCGGAAGAGAGGAACCTGATGGTTTACCACCACCAAAGTGAGTACCACATGTACCTTATTAGAAACACCAATTTTCTGCACTTGTATAGTGTTGTGACATGCAGTACATGCATGCAGTCTGGTTGTAGAAACAAATTTGTGTGTCACAGCATCAATTTTGTGTCAATTTATCCATTTTGAAGTTGCCCATACCTGGATATTACCTCTCCATATGCAGTGGTTTTCTAATTATAATTTTAAAAAAGATGTTTACAAATTAAGAAATATATAATCATAAATCATGTTAACAATATACTGCATATATAGCAGTCTTCCAATTATCTGTGAATATGTCACATTATAATAGTTTGGTTGCAAAAAGGTTAAAAAATTTAATTAGAATGTAATTCATACAATGTTTAATTATGGATTTTAAAAACTTCATTATATTTTTTTCAGCCGCCCGGACACCTCCTTTATTTGGTTCTTAAATCCATGGAAGTCACTGAAGTATATATTATGGGCTAATTTCAAATACAAGATTCTGAAGTTTTTCATTTTTATGCTGATTACAGCATTCATTGCATTCTTCATTTATGCTGCACCTGGTTACACTGCCAAGAAGATGTTAGGCGCATAGATCTGGAACTGCAGCAAAATTGAAAAAAAAAACTGAACTACATAGATGAAAACTCCTTGGTGTTGAGTATACTCATTTGCATGTGAATAACAATTTTGCAGCAAAAGATTTATGCTTAGTGGACATATTCAAAAAAGGAATGAAAAGTTTATTGTCAGGTTCCTTAATTAATATTTTTGAAGACAAAAGCCTGAGTAACTGGGAATGTCAGGCACAAGATGATAACAGAGGTTAATTTCCAGTTTACTGAAATTTACTGGGTAGGGTGGGAAGAGCAGATGGGTAAAAGGTATGTAAAAAAAGAAATCAGTTTTGCTAGTTGTTTATCACATCTACATTTCTGTGTATGAAACAAAGTGTTTAAGAGAAATTCTGCTTATGTGAAAGACCAAGAAATTATTTTTGACAAACCTGTACACCAGATATATTATTTTTCGTATAATTTTGAGCAATATTATCATCAGTGATGGATTGATGTACAGACAGTAGAAGAGCTCTTCTGGTTAGTTTTGGAGAACATAAGTCTTGTATAAGGGACATACACACTACAACTTTTTTTGCTTAATTTATCTAATTTTCACTAATTTTCACATTTTCTCTTAGCTGCCATTTATTACAGAAATGACAATTTTCTATTTGGAAGTCTCAATAGGAAAAGAGTACTTCTGAGAGATGAGTGAACTAGAAAACAAAATTTCATAAAATCTTTATCATTCCTTTCAATCAGATTTTAGTTATTTTATTCTTTCAATATGGGCATCTGTGCAATAAAATATTTAACATTTTTTTAGCTTGGTAGCAAATAAAACAATCTACTAGTTTCACCCGAATGATGATCTATACATAATTATTTATGGTTATGATATGGCAATAATAGTTTAAAAAAAAAAAAAAAAACTGAAAGAATTGGAAAATAAGCCACACTGGTGGTTCAAGGGAAACAGTGAGCTGTCTTTCCTTGAAAACAGGTATGTAGTACTTGGTAGATATTTTGTCTGCAAGATGAGTGTCTGAAAGCCAGTTTATAGACAGTTCATGTAAGAGATAAAGGTATCAAACAAATACATTGGTTACATGTGTGCAATATTGTGCTGAAATTCAATGTTTATTGGTTTTAGTTTACTTTTTACAAAACAAAGAATAAAGAACATGAAGATTTAAAGGGATAATAACTCTTCGTTTTGGCCAAAAAATGAATTTTCCTGGAGTAAACAACAATTTTCCCATACTTACTAATGGTTAATGAATTTCTGAAGTTTGTTTTTTATTTTATCTCTTAAGAGATTATAACAGAGTATAGCCATCAATGGAGGTCACGTGGTCTAAAGACAATCTTGTCTCAGATATCAGAATATTAGCTATAACTGCCATTTTCGTGGTAAAACAGAATATATTATATTTCTGTGAGTTGTTCAAAATGTTTTTATTGTGAAATATAGATCTCATACGAAAAGTTATTATCCCTTTAATTTTGTTTATACCTTAAATCCCCCACCCATAAAGTTTTATAAAGACTGCACATGATGTAAGAAACATACCTTTTAAGAATAAACTATACACACGTAAATATGTTTTGGACTCGAGTTTTGTTTTATTACTTGCAAAAAATGTTTTGGCTGTATATTCGTCTGCTTGTTTGTTTGTTTTTTGTGTGGCCAATTTTTTGTTTCATGATAGCGGCCACAACTTTTCAGATTTTGGTTTCAAAAAATATTTTTGGAACGTATTGAACCATATTCATTACCATATTAATTGTTTATATATGATCTATAGGTAAAAAATTTCAAATTTTTGAAATTAACAAAGCCCTTTGACAGTTTTTCTTAATCACATCAAATTCAATAGAGTGGCACTCGGTCATGATTTCTTCCAACTGAGGATCATGCCTTTTTTTTGTCTGTATAAATTTTTGAGATTTACATGTGAAATCTCACCGAAATTTTTCTATTTTTTTTATTTCCTATGATAACACACCAAATTGCGGACAATTATACAGGGCCATGACTTGTAACAATTTACCAAGTTTCCTCCAAGTCTTAGCTGTATGAGAATAATTTAATCAATTTATTATTGTTGGGTTTGAATTGTTGTAGATACTATGCCCCTGCCCAGGAACAAATGAATGCATGCAGTGGGTTTCAGTTTTCACATTACACGAAAGATAAAAAAAACTGTACCATGGCCCATATATAGGCATCTTCTTATATCACAAAAGTGTTGAAGAAACTTTTCAGCTATTTTGTAACAGACTAGTAGGGCCAGTGTGGTCAGAGAGTAGCCCTGCCATAGGAGCCTGTGCTAAATTCAGTAGGGCACAAACATGTGAAATGTTAACTTGGCATTTTAGTGGCACCCACAAACACTAGATTCTTGCATAATAAATTGCAAGTCCTTGCTCTGTTAGGAATTTTATTTATATTTTTTCGTTGATCACAGTATAAAATATGCAAAGACATATTGACATTCACCCCTAAAATTCAAATTTGATACAATCCAAAGCTAAACTTTATCTGAAAATGGATCATCCTTATTTACATCAACTCTAAATGCAGGCTAAAATGGGCAACTCAATACCTGTAAATAAATATGAAGTGCCAAACAGTTCGTCTTTGAGTTTCCTCAAAGTATCCATTATATTCAATAGCCAGATAAAAGTGGTACAGGGAAGAGTAACAATGCATGACTTCTTTTTACAATCCCACAAATAAATGTACAGTAATGTTTTACAGTATTCAGGCAGCAAGCACTGGGTTATTAAAACAATCCTCAGATTGGTGGATGGTGTACATAACAAAAACAATATACGATTTTACAATAAATGAATAAATAATAATTTAAAAAATAATAATAAAGATCAGCGTTTCATATCCTGATGCCATCAAATTTCAAACAGGTCAGTTTCACAACGAACTTTGTTACACATTGGTCTTAAAAAAAAAAAAAAAAAAAAAAATCATCCTACTTGGGGAAATGCCAAACCCACGGTATAGTCAATGTAAACAATTTTAGAGCATAAAAACAACAATAAGAAAAAAAAAAAAAAAATTGGAGGGTGGGGGGAACATGAAGTTCATGGCATTAATCAAGTGAGTTAAACAAGTAGTAATTTACAAAACTCGTGTTTAAATCCTACACACTTTTCACTCAAATGTAAGGACATAAAATTAAGAGGAATTTTTTGTCATATTATGTATATTACTCATTGTGGGCTTTTAATTCTTTTACGAGACTGGATCAAGTACAGTCCTGTAGTAACATGAATAATAATAATAATAATAATAATAATAATAATAATAATAATAAAAGTTTCTTTAAAACTAATTTCGACAATAAAAATGCATTTAACAGAAACGCTTTGTCCTGCATATGTTTCATTATTATGACCTCATTTGTTATTGCTTCAGATACATAATTTGGTGTTTAAAAATCAGATGTAATAAGAAAAAATCTAATTATTTGTCTGATCTTGATAATAAGCAGAATGCCAAAGCTATCTCTATACACAACTGTTAGAAATATAATAAAAGGGCATCCCTATATCTGTTTAAATAAAACTAATTATACAACAAGTAGCTGACATACAGCATGCAAAATATAATAAATAGTTGCAACTTTACAGTTCTCTTCAACAGAAAAAAAACAAACACTTAAGCATGACCAGACTAGACTAAAAATAAATGTTCAGCAACACTTTCACTTTTTCAGTTATAAAACACCAAATAAGTAATGTACCATCCATAGTCTCCATGAATTTTTTAAAAAACAGGCTCTAAAACACACAGAAGCCTCCACTAATGGCATTTTAAATCAGACCTCATGGAGCATAAGGTGGAGGAGGGGGTACATTTGTCACTGGAGGAATAAGCTCAGCACCCAAGGGAGGGATAACCTCCATCCCATCAAAGTCTTCCATTAATCTGTGTCTATCACTACTACGACGGGAGTCATGGATTGGCGGGTATCTCTGCAGCAAATTACACGCCACTGCTATGACTGACACAGCACCCGCTGCAGTGACCAAATAGAAACTGACATCAAAATGCACTTCCACCTTGCTGCCTGCATGATGCTTGGTCTTCTCTTGTAAATCTTTTATCAACTGTGCTTCCCAGAAGCAAAAGCCATTCACAGTGACGCATACAAGCACTGAAAAATATTAAGAAAAGAGAATGTATTAACAAGAAACTTAAACAATGCTGAAAATGATTTTCCTACAGAAGTTTTCAGTTCAAAGTGAAAAAATAAAAGGTTTTAATACAGATGAATAGTTATAAATTATAGAAAATAAGGAGGGGAGGCAGCTGCCAAATGTTTCACACCTACCAAAGTTGCCATATAATGTTTGCAGGCAGACTAATTAACTATGGACTGTCTGCAGTAAACAGTCAATAGACTTCCTTGCTACGGTAGTCTGATAACTTTCAGATCATGGGATACTTCACAAATAAAATCTCATTTCTTCACATAGCAATAACGTAGTTCCTTGAAATATCTAGCAATTGTTATATATCTATCGATTGATGATAAGCAATTCCAATATTCAAGGCCAGTTTAAAACAAAACCAATGTAAAACAAAGAGAGGTGCATGTAACAAAAACAACTGTGTCAGAGTTATATAATTTGTTTAAAAAGTTATAGAATTTTTTTATACAAACCTGCTAGTATGTTCCACACTGCATGTCTTCTAATCTGTTTCAATAACCTTTGTGCTGGCCCATATAAATCTAATGCGAAGCCAGCTCCACTAAATATGATTGCAGCAAATACAAGACCAATTATACACTGCATAACAAGTGCTCCTTTTTCTGTTACACAATCAACCAAAGCTGAAAAAGGAAAGAAAGATATATTAAACCATTGCTTATTCAAATGTATCTATATCAATGCTTCACAGTAAATTATCAATATGAAAACGGAATAAAACATCTAATCCAAGTGCAGGGACGGGCCCAGCAAAGACTTGTGAGTAGGAGAAAATTAATTTTTACACCAGGAAAATTAATTTTGGCATGTAAATACCATGCAGAGTGCCTTTAAATTATTTATAAATATTAGATGTTGGGATACTTTGCATATGCCAAAATAACTTATTCAGCAAAGAGAGAGAGAGAGAGAGAGAGAGAGA